TCTCCCAGTTCGTTTTCTACACCACCCTAGGTGAGCTAGTAATTAGCATCATCATTTTGGCGCCGTCTGTGGGAACGATGCAAACCAGATCACGTAGCCAACAAGATCCTCCTGAGGTGTCTGCTCGGAGAGAAAATGACACAGCTAACGACCTCCCACCTCGTGGAGGCTCTGGCTTGCCACCTCCTCCACGTCCCATGGATCCGCCTCGCGAGGTTCAGGTGATCCCCCCTCGGGACCCACCACTCGCCGATCCACCATTCCCTGCTCCTCGAATGGTTCAAATAACCGAGGATGCGCTTCGACGCATGATAGCAGAAGCTTCAACTCGCACTGCCACAGAGGCCGTGACCCAATATATCGCCACGATGGGAGCAAATGCTCCCGACGCGATACCAGCACCTGCTCGACATGTGGAGCCACCTATGGCACCACCGCCATCGACTCCCTGGGGGCTTACAGCTGCCCCCAAAATATTCGCTCGCCAAGGGTTATCGACTCCCTGGGGCTTACATCGCCCCCAAAATATTTCGTTCGCCAAGGGTTATCGACTCCCTGGGGGTTTACATCGCCCCCAAAATATTTTGCTCGCCAAGGGTTATCGACTCCCTGGGGGTTTACATCGCCCCCAAAATATTTTGTTCGCCAAGGGTTATCGACTCCCTGGGGGTTTACGTCGCCCCCAAAATATTCGCTCGCCAAGGGTTATCGACTCCCTGGGGGTTTACATCGCCCCCAAAATATTTTGTTCGCCAAGGGTTATCGACTCCCTGGGGGTTCACAGTGCCCCCAAAACATTTCATTCGCCATGGGTCATCGACTCTCTGGGGGTCTATTTACTTCTCGAACGGTTCAGATAACCGAAGAAGACCTTCAACGTATGATCACGGAAGATTCAACTCGTGCTGCCACTGAATCAGTGGCACCATATATCGTCAAGTTTGGACATCTCACCCAAGTGGTTCGTGATCGCCTCATCCTACAGTGGGCAGTTATCCCCAACCTAAGGTTGGGCATCACCCTTACCTATAAACCCCAAGTGGGTTCACATCACATCTCAAGAGACGAGTATAATCTCCCTACTCAAAAAATAGAACATCCCCAAGGGGGTGCACATCCCATCTCAAGGAACGAGGATAATCTCCCAACTCAAAAAATAGAACATCCCTAAGGGGGTGAATATCAACCAAAAAAAAAAAAAAAAAAAAAAAAAAAGAGAGGGTAAAATCACGCACGCGAGACCCCAGAAGAAGATGAAAAAATACAAGAACAAGAAGAAGAAAGAAACAAGAAAAAAGAAGAAGATAAAAAAAAAAAAGAGAAGAAGAAAGAAGAAGAAAAAAGAGAGCAAAAGAAAAAGAAACAAAAGAAGAAAGAAGAAGAAAGAAAAAATATGAAGAAAAAGGAGGAGTTGCAGCCGAGCCGCGCGCGCGAGCCGAGCCAAGCCGCGCGCGCGCGGCTCCAAAAAAAAAAAAAAAAAAAAAAAAGAGGGATAGGAGGCGCGCGTGCACAGCACGCGCGCGTGTCTTGCACGCCCCAGACGCGCGCGCGTGCACAGCACGCGCGGCAGAAAAAAAAAAAAAAAAAAAAAAAAAAAAAAAAGGAAGGAGATGGGCGCGTGCACAGCCCGCGCGCGTGGCGAACACGCGCCAGGCACCCGCGCGTGCACTGCACGCGCCAGAAGCAAAAAAAAAAAAAAAAAAAAAAAAATTCACACGCGCGCGCGCCTTCCCATGCACGCGCGCGCGCCTCCCAAGGTCACCTTGGAGCGCGCGCTCCCACCTAATTGGGCACAACTTTTGCTACCCTCCACCAAATTGTGCGTAGATTTCACCTCGCTTCACCAAATCGCGAGAGAATTTCAACGCGCTCCACCAAATAGCGCGAGCTCTTTAACGCACCTACCAAATTGCGTTCGCTATCAAATGGAAAATAAATAAAAAATTTATTTCTCCACGCCATGCCAACGATTAAAGAAACACTACAACACCGATCTACTCTCAACACGATCCGGAACCCTTTTCGACGTGGCTCCCACATCGTCTCGAGAGTGGGGGGCTTGCGAGACAACTCCCACGAGGAGCCAACTCGCTCAGTACTACCACCCGTTGCGAGGTAACTCCCACGAGGAGCCAACTCCCTCGGGTCTCAACACCAAAGCGAGACAACTCCCACGAGGAGCAAACTCGCTCTGTCCTACATCCCGCAGTGAGACAACTCCCATGAGGAGCAAACTCACTCGGTCCTACAACCAGCAGTGAGACAACTCCCACGAGGAGCAAATTCATAGCGAGACAACTCCCACGAGGATCCAACTCGCCCGATACTATAGCCCGATGGGGACAACTCCCACGAGGAGCTAACCCCCTCTAGTCTCAAAACTACAGCGAGATAACTCCCACGAGGAGTCCACTCGCTCAATCCTACAACCCGTTGCGAGGCAACTCCCACGAGGAGCCAACTCCTTCGGATCTCAAAACCACAGCGAGATAACTCCCACGAGGAGACCACTCGCCCCGTCCTATAACCCGTCGCGAGGCAACTCCCACGAGGAGCCAACTCCCTCGGGTCTACGAAGCCACAGCGAGACAACTCCCACGAGGAGCCAACTCGCTCGACACTACAAATTCGTTGCAAGACAACTCTTACGTACAACCACCTCGCTCGATAATAAGACTCGCTGCGAAACAACTCCCACGAGGAGACAACTCGCTCAGAGCAACCTCAATCCGCACGCTCCTCAATCGCGCGTCATCCAATGCTCCTACAACTTCGCTGCAGGACAACTCTCTTGAAGAGACAACTCGCTCGCAATGCACTACATAATCGCAAGCTCAAGTTAGCACGATTACAACCCTAGAAACACTTAGAGATATTATGAGAATCTATATAGCCTGGCCAGCTTGATTACTCAAAATTTATCTACTTGTTTTCGATGGGTCCTTCATTAAAACGTGGCCACGGTCCAAACATACTTACGACCCACGAGGTCTAACAAGGGGCACGATCCCCATAAAAAAACTCTTGAGAGCCTGATCCCCTCCTCAAGTACATCACGCACAAGGCTATATGTAAACACATACAAGCAACGCGTCAAAACATTGACAATGTCGATAAATAACAACTCCCACGAGGAGAATACTAGCTCCGTGCTACTACATTTTCACGAGACAACTCCCACGAGGAGATAACTCGATCAACTCCATTACCCCACGACGAGACAACTCCCACGAGGAGATTACTTGATCCGTGCTACCACATTATCGCGAGACAACTCCCACGAGGAGACTATTCGCTACTACATCGTCGCGGGACAACACCGACGACTCAAATAACTTACATAGCGACAACTTGGCCGCGCTACGCGCCAACGCGCATTCACGCCCCTCCGACACACGCTCCAATTCATTTTCGCGCACCATCAGGCCATATGCCAAAGAACGAACACTACAATTTTCACTCTCGACACGATTGAGAACCCATTTCAACATGGCCCCCACATCGACTCGAGAGTGGGGGGCTTAATGATATGCCTAATTGGCCCAACCCAATGGGCCTACACATTATTTATCTACCGGGCCACGAGCCCAATATCGAAGACTACTATCACCGAGGCCCAATCACCTTCAAGCAAGGTTTGGGCCCGACAATCTCAACTAAGCTATAAATACACATTTGAACTCATTCGATAAGGTACGTCCTATTATCTGAGCAATACTACTAATGGTATTCTCTGGACTATTTCTATGATCAGCACGTCTGACTTGAGCGTCGGAGGGGTTTCCGCCGGATCAACCCCCGGCTTAGCTTATGTGTTCTATGATCGCAGGTACCTCAGGATCATCAAGTTGTCAAGCTACTGATCTGCTTTGCTCTCCCAGTTCGTTTTCTACACCACCCTAGGTGAGCTAGTAATTAGCATCATCATACTATTTCTCAATGTGACAAATTCATCCAAATCTAACTCTTTTTTTTTCTTTTGAAGGAAAATTGAACTCAAATAGAGGTAAATGTTAAAATTAAATTCAAAAAAACGAACTCTAATAAACGTAAATGTTAAAATTAAAAAAATATCATACGTTTACTAAAAGTGATCATGTATTTATATTTGTACCAAAATGAAGAATCTATATTAAGTGGGCCCCTATATATTTGGGCCACAATCTGTTGATTTTGATTTAGCCTCAACCTATCACATTTACGATTATACCCCCACATTAAGAATCCTTGTTTAATTTCTATCAACCCTAATTTCCTGATTTTTTTTTATTTTATTTTTCCGTTCAATATTCAATAAAAATTAACTGCGTTTATCCGTATTTATTATTGTATATTTTCCTTACTTGCGTACGAATTTTTCTTCGAGGGAACAAACGCTGCATCGCGATTGGAAAATTAATCTTATTTTATTGTTATTAATTAATTTAATTTATTTATTTTGATTGAGAATCGATGTTGAATATATATTTAAGGGTAAATTACAACCATCCATGAGGTATGGTTAAATTACAAAAATCTCATTTATGTTTGGGTAATTACAATCACTCTCCACAACTATAAAATTTTTTACACGTCCACCCTTATGATTTCAAATTTAGTGGAATCTTCGAGATTATATGGAATATTATCACTTTTGTACCCATTTTATCCCATTCGAACTCCACATTTTAAAGCAAGATGATCATAATATGTGCTTTTTGGTTTGTATATATCAGATTGTGATGCATTAAAAACTGTATTTTTTCACCAAACGAGTAAAAGGTAGAGCACATTCCACGAAATCTAGATGATTATGTTGAATTTGACACCATAAGGGTGGAGGTGTAAGAAAAAATCACTGTTGAGGGGGTAGATGTAATTATCCAAACAATAGGGTTTTTTTTCGTAAATTGACCATTGCACCGGGGTGGTTGTAATTTACCCTATATTTAATGGTGTTTTTTTTTTTTTTTTTTTTTTGAAAAGACCCTATATTTAATGGTTGAGCGACTTATTTAATATATATTTAGTGGTGAATATATATTTAATGTATATTTCTACTGTTAATGTGCTCCATTGGTGATGTAGTTGCTTACACGAGCTAATTTTTGGAAGAGTCAAACTTATGTTTGTTGTTTATTATTTTGAATTTATACCTTATTTATTACCAATCATTCACTGGTTGTTGGGAGTTGCATAATTATTCAAATTGCAACATGAAATTTGAATTTATTTCATGATTTGGTGGAAATAAATTGATTTTTGGTGTTTGGGTTTAAAATTGAAATATTGAACTGTTTTACGTTTCAATTAGGCGTATTCTTTTCTGCATTGTGTATGGTTAGGGTTATCATATGCAAATTAAGTTTTTCGTTTTTCGTTTTTCGTCTAATCTAATCGTGTTTTTAATTCGATCTGATATAGTTGCCTGAAATTCCTAAATATTTAATACAGTCCCTTGTTAATTACATTAGCATTTCATGTGATTGTTTTTAAATTATTTTGCTTAATCCACTTGATAATGTAATGTGGATATATTTTTATCCAAGTGGCAATGTTGAATGTGGCTAAGATGTCTGCATAACCGATGTAGTAGCTCTCGGAAAAAAAAAACGATTTTTCTAAGGAAATTACGGTATCGATAAATTACGAATCTATATTGTATTGATTTATTCAGTAGCTGCCTGCGTAAAACTCGTATGCTCACCATGTAGCTTAAGTGTCGTAAAACGACTTTAACTGCATATTATTTATTTGGTATTGGTTGTTTATTCCGCCTCAGTTGCAAAGATCGTGTACGGTGAGAAAAATCTCCGATGTTCGAAATCCTGTTTTGAAGGAGGCTTCTTTGATTTAGGATTCGTTTCTTTTGTTCGACGGTGTAGTCGAAAACAACCTAGTATTACGACGTTGGCTATAGCTTATCGTGTTTCAAACGATGCAGGTAAAAAAACATCGGTTGCCATCGAAAGTTCGAATGTAATAGCTTTACCTAACAAAAAATGTAGCCTAGTGAAAGTCACTATCAGAAGAGTCCAACTTGGCAAACTTTTTTTATGTTGACATTAATTACTTAAAATGCTATACTTTTCTTATGTATCTATATATGTATATATATAAGAGCTATTTTCTAATAGTAATAGTGCGTTTGTGTGTGTTTTTATTTGCATATATGTATGTGTAAGAAAAATACAGGGAGCTGCATGTGTTAACATTTGATCGCTGAGTGAGACAAAAACGAAAAATCGAGTACCTACTTTTTTTTAGCCTTCGAAGAAAAAAAATATGATTTATAATCAATCTGAAAATCCGTTACAGCTCGCTGTTCTAGATGTTTCGCAGCCGTTGGATTCTTCGTCTCTGTCCTCTCTAGCTGCAGCCTGCAAAGAATGGGGTTTCTTCCAAATCGTCAATCATGGCATCTCGAAAGATCTGTTCGGCCAAATCTACTCTCTGTCGAACGAGATTTTCTCTCTCCCTTCCGATTCCAAACTCAAACTAGGCCCCTCTTCATCGATCAAAACCTACACCCCTCCTTTCATTGCCTCTCCTTTTTTCGAGAGCATTAGAGTTGCGGGCCCCGCTTTTGCCGACTCTGCTCAGAGCTCCGTCGATGCCCTCGGTGAACACGATTCTCGGTTCAGGTATTACTCTGCATTTAGTACTCCTTTGTTATATCGAATTGCCAAAAAATAGTGAGCTTTTATGGGTATTTTGCAGAAAAAAATTGAATCATGGGGTGTTTTTGCCAATAAAATAACATGAGGGGTCTTTTAACAATTAGAAAATAAATACAGGGGTGGCGAATGCAATAAATAAAGCCTCTTATCGTTTTTTTTTTCTTTTCGTTTCTATCGTAATCTGATTGAATGATCTTCTTTTCTGTAATATAGTGAAGTGATGCAAGAATATGGGAGTAAAATGACGGAATTATCCAAGACAATCGTTAAGGTTGTCTTAAAGACCCTCGGAGATGGATTCGATACGAAATTTTACGATTCGGAATTCAATAACTGCCACGGCTACTTGAGGATAAACAACTACACCCCTCCTAATAACTTCGAAGAAGGAGAAACCGAGGGGCTGGGAATGCACACGGATATGAGCTGTATAACGATCGTGTATCAAGATGAAATAGGAGGGCTCCAAGTGAAATCGAGGGACGGGAAATGGATGAACATCGTCCCGTGTGAGGAAACCCTAATCGTGAATATCGGAGACATGATGCAGGCGTGGAGCAACGAACGGCTGAGATCGTCCGAGCATAGGGTGGTGTTGAGGAAGCTCGTGAACCGATTCTCTATGGCTTTCTTTTATTGCTTTGAGGATGATAAGGTTGTCTTGTCACCCGATGAGGTGGTGGGGCCGCCGGAAGTTACGAGAATTTACGAGGCGTTTGTTTGTTCGGATTATGTGAAGTTCCGGGAGAATGTTGTGAAGGAGGGGTTCGAGAAAGTCGGTTTTACGGTTAGAGATTTCGCAGGGGTTGTAAAGTCGGAAAATGGAGTTTAGTTATTTCCAAGAATTTGGTATGTGGAAAGTATTTTATATGTATTGTATTAATTTAATTTGTGTGTGTTATTGTTCAAATTTGTTGAGATTGAGAATGATTTGTGTAAGAGAAATTAGTAGTATATGGTTATTTATTTTTTATTTAATTTTATTTTTTAAATGTGAATGCAATTTGTGTGTTCTTGTGGGTTTATTTATTTTTTTCAATTATAGAAGCATTATAGAGACAAATGCGTGTAAGTATTTTGGTACCCCTTGATAGTGATTGTTTAATCACCATTGACAATTTTGTCTGTGGGATTTGATTTTCATTTAGTGCATGATCTATAATGCAATCAATATGGGTCCAGAAATATAGAAAAAAAATCACCATTTTTTATTTTTATTTTTTGTTTTTTGGACACCTTTATTTGGCCAATTGTTTTGTAGTTGCGGGCAAAATGCACATATTCATATTGTAAAAATTACAGTTTTTGTCCATCAAGTTTGCATAGGTTTCATATTTGGTCCTCCATATTTACAAAAAAATACATTTGGTTCCTCATGTTTCAACAATTTTAAACTTTTGGTAATTTTCGTTAATTTACTGCTAGTCCGTCGGTTAAGAGAGTGATGGACAACACATGTTTGATTCCGTTAGTACTAGCGAGAAATTGACGTCAATGACGACAAAAAATGTTAAGTTATTAAAACATGAGGGACTAAATTTATTATTTTATTAACATGGGGAGCAAATGTAAAGTTGAGATAAACTTGAGGGACGAATAGTGCAATTTTCTTAAAAAAAATCATATTTTCATCGCAATTTGTCATCATAGTCAACCATCATCAAGTTGCTTTCGTTGTGGTGTTCACTTTAATGTTTAGATTAAATTAATCTTCAATAGGGTTATGATTTTACATACATACACACACATGAATAATTAAATAAAAAATTCAATAGGGAAAATATTCGAGCTCGATTCACATATATACGCACATCTTTATATATAAAAGAAAGGTTTGATCCGATACCCTAAAAATAATTTGTTTTTAAAATACTGTTGTCAGATATTTGTTTCCATTATTTTCTCTTTATTTATCGCACATTCAAAATCATTTGTTTCTTCTTCCTTTTTTTGTTTTGGTTTTTTTAATTGTTTTTTTTTTCTTTTTCCTTTTTTTTCTCTTATCCACTAAACACGGTCAATTTTTTTTTTTTCAATTTTTTTTTTCTTGTTTTTCTTTTTTCTTTTTTTTTTTTCTATTCAAGCACTAAATTTTATCTCTTTTTTTATAGGACACGTTTTTTTTAATTATTTTTGTTTTCCCTTTTTTCTTCTTTTTCCCCCTTCCCACTAAACACGATCAACTTTGAAAAAAAATTCACGTTTGTTTTTTCTTTGTAATTATTTCTTTTTCTTTTTTTTCTTCTTTTTTCCTCTTTCAGCACTAACTTTTCTCTCCTTTTTTATAGCACGTGTGTGTATTAAATTTTATTGTTAAAATAGATTTATAGATTATGATTGTAATTAGTGATTTTTTTACATTTTCGGTGTTCCATTGTTTTGTTGTTGTACATGTCGTATATGTTTACTAATTTCTAATTTTGTTTATCTTATATTTTGTTTTCAACATCCGTCTGTGCAACGCACGAGGCAAAACACTAGTATAAATAAATAAATAAATAAATAAATAAAATTACATTAAAAGGGATAGTGCTTATCTTTGTGAGCCCAATGCACAACATTAGCCGCTAATGGGCTTCCATCCTTAATCCTTTCCGATTAGTTTTAGAAATGCAATTAATCAGCAAAATTGGTAGATAATAAACACTCATAAGTTATAATTGGAATGTTATGAATGTTTGAATATTCATAATTGGAGAAAAAACTTAGTTACAAGTGTAACAAATACAATTTCATTGAGCGATATAGTAGCCATATAAACGAAGTTAATGTTAGGCTAACTTAAAAAATAAATTATTTGCTAATATTTTAATTAATATTTTCTTCCTTGCCTCAATGCAAAACGAAAAAAAAAACCACTTTACTTGTTATTCTAGTTATATTTGTTAATGGCATATTTATAATTATTTTTTAGAATTTTTCTCTACGTAAACGATGAGCAACCTTAATTGCATCTTTATAATTAATTTATTTTATTTTGTTCCCTTTATATTATGGATGGATGCTCTCTTAACATTTTTTTCAACTATACCAATAGTCCCTTGTTTAAATCATTATTTTCCTAGTTTGATAAAAATGAATAAAAGAAAAATGATTATTTTGCCTTTGTCGGTCTTGGTTATGCCTAGTGTAGGGGTGGAAATTGGAATGGAATTTCCGAATTCCGCCAATTCCGATCCGAAAATATCCGAATTTGGAACCGTATTTTTCATTCCGATTTCCGAAGTTCTGATTTCCGATTTTTCCGAATTTAATTGGAACGGAATTGGAATGGTACTTAAAATTTTCGGAAATTTCGATTTCCGATCCGATTTTAGTTCCGAATATTTCTATGGTTTTTCGAATCATATAATGTAATTTTATGATATATTTTATAATTCCATAATATAACTTGTGTTATATTGTATATGGAAAATATAAATAACGAAGGATCAAGTAAATTAAAACATTATATTAAAAACTTAATTGCTATTAGAAACTTTGTGTTGCATTTTTACTTATAAGAAAATCTATGTTTCAAATTTTCAATTTGTTGTTCCTTCATTTATTTTTATTTATAGCGTTTTGTCGAATTCTCTTTTGGATTTCTTGCATTTTCTTGCAAAATTTCAAAAAAGATAGAAAAATATTGTGAAAATTAATGTAATTTCCGAATTTTGGAACAATAAATTATAAATTAATGTAATTTCCGAAATTTCCGAAATTCCGCCGATTCCGAGGCATTCCGAAATCGGAATGAATTTTTGCATTCCGATTTTTTTGGAACACAAATTGGAACCCATTTTTTACTTCCGAAAAAACTATTTACGATTCATTCCGTCCGATTCCCACCCCTAGCCTAGTGAAATACTAAATTATTTACATATTATCACTATTATTATGTCGAAAAATATCTTTGTACTATTAAAGTTATAAAAAGAAAAATATCTTTCCAAAGTCGAAATTCCTCGTGATCCTTATTCCATGCTGCGGGCATAATCCGACCCGACCCGACCCGATTGGGAGTCGAAATTAGTGCTGTTTAAAATAGCCTGAGAATTACTCGGATCCCTCAACCCGAACCCACCGTTCACGGATTTCTTACCCGCCATCTTCTCTCTCTCCACTCTCACACAGCGACAGTTTCTGCGTATGTGCGAAGAACACAAAAAATGGCGATTAACGTTTCATCGCCGGAGTTGCTCCGCAGATTCACGACACTCAGCACTCGCAATTATGCTTCCCCCGCTTTTTCAGTGGCCGCGCCGCTCCTCTCCGTCAATAGCAATTGCCGGAGCATACCCAAACTCTGTAAATTGAGAGAATCTGGTGTTCGATCTCGTGCCATTGTTGGAGATACCGAATTGAAAATCGAGGAAGAGGACGCTTCGTTGCTTGGTGACGACAATTCAGCTGAGGCGTCTTCCGTACATAAACCGGTGATTTTTTTAAATTCTGTTTCTCTTCAAATTTTTTTTTTTTTGAATTATGAATATTGCAGTGAATTTATGCATGTGATGATTTCCTGTTTGATATTCTTCCATTGATTTGCTCCATGATTTTTGTTAGGCTTTAGGATCGAGGATTTTACAGAAGTAAGAGGGAACAAAAAAAAAATCGTTTAATAAATTAATCTCTCCATATGAATGAATAGAATTTGTTAGAAAAAAAAAAACACATATAATTTTGCGTCTGAATTTACGTTGTTTGATTCGATCGAAGAAGGTTATATATGGTGTATGGAGTATATGCTGCTACAGCTCAATTACCATTATCACAGCCTAGCAGTTTCTTTCATGCTCAAAGAACTTTGGCCGTGATTATATTGTATGGTTTCCTTGAGAATCGAGTTCCTGTTTAATAAATTGTTGTTTATTAAATTAAGGTTGACGAAATTATTCAGAAGGTTCAGGAGCGAGATTTTACGGGCACTCCTTATGTTCCGATTTATGTGATGCTCCCGGTGAGTTTGCAACATTCCCTTTTTGATATAACTTCATCTATTTTGTAATCTACACATTAAGAGATCTGAGCTAACGTAGTTTCTGACGGAAACAGTTAGGGATCATCAATATGGATTGTCAGTTGGTTGATCCCGATGAATTGATAAATCATTTGAGGGTACTTAAGTCAATTAACGTTGATGGTGTCATGGTGGATTGTTGGTGGGGCATAGTGGAAGCAAATGCTCCTCAACAATATAACTGGAGTGGCTATAGAAAGCTTTTCCAAATTGTGCGAGACCTTAATCTCAAGCTGCAGGTGAGTTGCCTGAAATGTTAAGAAATTCATAGCTTATTGTAGGTGAATGTCGTTCGTTAAATTTTCTTTTACTTTTTGTTGAACTTCGTGTTGCTTTGTTTCATCTAATTCAATTCTTGAAATAGGTAGTTATGTCTTTTCATGAATGTGGAGGCAATGTCGGTGACGATGTGCATATTCCCCTTCCAGAATGGGTGATAGAAATTGGGGGTAAAAATCCCGACATCTTTTTCATGGATAGAGACAGAAGACAAAACCGTGAATGTCTCACTTGGGGAATTGACAAGGAACGAGTTTTGAGAGGTCGAACAGCTCTTGAGGTATAACCATGTTTTGGTATATTGCTAAGCTATGTTCGTTCAAGTTTTTATGTTTCCATATATGCAAATGCTCCATAAGTTCACCAAGTAATTGCCCGTGTTCTTGCTTAGTTGCATGTGTCACTTTTTAGCTCTTGTATTTACATGAAATTATCTCTGCAAATTTCGGATTGAATATCAGCCTCGAAGTCGAAATGCTTCTCCTGTTGATATTATTGATATTGTCTTGGATCTAATTCTTAGTATTCAACAACATGATGTAGGTTTACTTTGATTATATGAGAAGCTTCCGTGTAGAGTTTGATGAGTTCTTTGAAGATGGAGTCATCACTGAGATTGAAATTGGACTTGGTCCATGTGGGGAGTTACGTTATCCATCTTATCCTGCCAAACATGGCTGGAAATATCCTGGTATCGGGGAATTTCAGGTAAATATTTATAATCAGTCTATTTAATCCGTGATATTTACAATCATTTTTATGCATTTACGAAAAATAAACCCTTCTTTTTTCTTTCGCAGTGCTATGACAAATACTTGATGAAAAGTTTGAAGAAAGCATCAGAAGTGAGGGGCCACTCATTTTGGGGTGAAGGGCCTGAAAATGCAGGAACCTATAATTGCAAACCACAAGAAACCAAGTTCTTTTCCGATGGAGGTGATTACGATAGCTATTACGGCCGATTCTTCTTGAACTGGTACTCTCAAGTCCTCATTGACCACGGTGACCGTGTACTCACCTTTGCAAATCTTGCCTTCGAAGGTACCCCCATTGCTGCTAAGGTATTGAAGAACTAAAAATTTCAAAATTTTCGACGTGCCATTTTCCTCTCTTTTCACTATGTATTTTCATTTCCGCTATTTTGTTTTGATGGATGAGCCAGCTGTCGGGCATTCATTGGTGGTACAAGACAGCTAGCCACGCTGCAGAGTTAACCGCAGGGTTCTATAATCCAGCGAATCGGGATGGTTATGCTCCAATAGCATCGGTATTGAAAAAACACGAGACTGCTCTCAACTTCACATGCGTTGAGTTGCGAACGATGGACCAGCATGAGGACTTTCCGGAAGCATTAGCAGATCCTGAAGGATTGGTGTGGCAGGTTACCATTACTCTCTCTCTCTCTCTCTCTCTCTCTCTCTCTCTCTCTCTCTATATATATATATATATATATATATATATATATATATATATATATATATATAGATTTTGGACTGAACTTACTTGTGCACAAATTTTTAGGTGCTAAATGCTGCATGGGATGTTGGAATACCTGTGGCAAGTGAGAATGCTCTTCCATGCTATGATAGAGAAGGTTATAATAAAATACTCGAAAATGCCAAACCCTTTAATGATCCCGATGGAAGACATTTATCGGCTTTTACCTATCTCAGGCTAAGCCCAGACCTTATAGAGGAACGCAATTTTGTGGAGTTTGAACAATTTGTAAAACGCATGCATGGTAAAAAAAAATCCTTTTTTTTTTTCTGGGATGAATTTTACTGATTTATCCACTACTTAATGCAATTATTTTATCGAATTTGCAGGGGACTCAGTACCGGACTTGGAGCATTGCCTAGAAGAGGAGGCTCGAACTGTCGACGAAAAAACATGATTACGGACCAAAGAAGCCGGCTAATGATGTCATTGGATCCCAATCTACAACGGACCAATGGTAGTCGATTGATGTCGAAAATAAATGTTAGGGCCCGTTTGGATTGGATTTTATATCCATTGGCGGCCAGATCGAATCTCTGTATTGGATTGAGAAGTAAGTCCGGGGGATTTCAAATCCTCTTCAAAATTGAATGGATTTCGCCTACATTTAAAAAAAAAATCAGTAAATTATACTTGGAGAATAATTTATTTAAATTGCACATATTTTGTGATGGTTAATTTATATTGTATGTAGCAACTATTGGATTTAGAGTTAATCTTGTTCTACTATATATGTTGTCCAAAACTTGTGCGTTTGAATAAATGGATTTCAAAAAAAAATTATGCATCGAAATAAGAGATTCCAAATTGAATTAAATGGATTTAAAATTATGAAATTACTTTTGTGCAGTAAGTGTTGCAGTGCAAAGGTAAACACACATATATTTACACGCCTTACAGAAAGATTTTGATGGATACTATGAGTCTATGACCCATTTACCGACCCGCTTCCATCATCTTCATCTATCTCAAACAAAAGATGACCCGTTTACTTGACCCATTTAGCCACCAAGTACTGAAACCTAGCTGGCTAGCTCCCACACACATTACACATACATGCAGCTAGCGTGTTTCAGATAAAACAAACTGTGCACATATATATACGGTTAGTGAGTGAGTGAGATAGAGAGAGAGAGAGGGTACACCGTACACAACAAAAAAAGAGAAATTACACAGAGACAAGAGAGAGAAAGACTGTGATAGAGAGATAAACTAAAGCTTCAAAGAAGAAACCATGGCGTCTTTGCTCTCATTCTCCCTCCCCCTTCACCATTCACCCACAAGATGAAGCCCATGTTGAAGCCGATCTCTCTCTCTCTCTCTCTCTGGCTACGGAAATTAATACAAAATTAATGCAAGTTTATTTAATGTAATTGCTCAATTTGCCAAAGATAATTAGAATCTAATTACTTTAATTAATATGAAGAGACAGCTAGTGTGTATATATATATATATATATATATATATATATATATATGGGGTTATTTTACATAACCCTTAGCCACCAAATAAATTAGGGATAAACCTAGGGCTGGCAATCGAGCTATGTGAGCAGAGTTTGGGTCGGCTCAAGCTCACATACCATCGGGCCTCGTTACTATAGGCTAAAGCTCACATACCATCGAGCCTCATTGTTATAGGCTCAAGCTCGGCTCATGTATTTTTTCGGGTTTCGGGTTTATATCGGGCCCCATTACTATATAATTGTAATGAGTAATTTTTTTTATAAAAACACGTAGTAAACAAGATTTACCTTCATTAAAGCCAAAACTTAAATGATATTTGCAAGTTATTGGAAAAACTTAAAAACAAGACCAAAAAAAAATAAAAAAGATTAGTTACTCTTGTTATTGGAAATGTTTTATATTCTCAAATCTCGGTGATAAATTTCAACAATTAGATATCGATGTATTTTTGCATTTGATCCCTATTTTACTTATTGTCACCGCCACCGCTACCGCTACCACTTAATTCATTTTATTTTGCAAAATAAAATAATCTTATACGGTCGTAACTTGTATAGTTGTATGTTGTCATAGGATTACAATAATAAATATATTATATATTTTATTTTTAACCTAATCGGTCGGGCCTTATTCGGGTTGAGCCATAGTAAGCTCAAACTCGGCTCATAAATAAGTCGGGTTTAATAAAATGGCTCAAACTCGGCCCGACTCACCAAAAAGTAGGCTCGACTCAAGTATAATCGGGCCGAGCCATCGGGCTTCGGTTAGGCCCGGCTCAATTACCGGTCCTAGATAAACCCAAGCCCAAATCATCATTTGACATACCCTCCTGGGGAAGCGAAATTACTATACTACCCTTATGTGCAATTTTCGGCCAAACTGCATTCAGCATTTATGGTCCTGCATTTATCATTTTCGCTGATTTATTTATTATTATTTTCCTTTTTTTTTATAAATCTGTTTGTTTTATATATATATATATATATATATATATATATATATATATATGTTTATTGTTTTAATTTTTTTTAAATTAAAAAAAAAACTATTTTTTTTATTTTTTTTTAATTTTTTTTTTAATTTTCAAAACAATATGTTTACAGTACTGAAAATAACTACATGTAACTATAGTACCTATAGTAATTCGTAGTTATGTTCGTTTTTTCCCCATATTTTTAGTCGATCAATTGTATACACACACGAATACTGACTTATACAAAATAAATTCATAAAACCCCAACAAAAATTTACAAATTTAAATATTTTTATTATAAATCACATCGGAACCAATAAAATAAAAATTGAAAATACATAAATATACGCATATGTAACTACATGTTACTATAGTAATGTATAATAATGTATACAGTCTGTTGAACAGATCTGATGTAACTTAAAAAAACAAAAATTTGACACCTTCAAGGAAGGTTAATGGCCTTCATTAAGCTGCAATTGCAAAATCAAAACAAAAAGAAATTACTTTAGTGCAAATCAATAAATTTGAAGAAAAACATCAAAACACTCAAAAATCACCAAACATTAAGAGATCGAGAGATAGAGAGTAACCACCAATGGTTCCGCGCGGCCACAAATGCAAAAAATATAGAAATAAATCTGAAAACATAAAAATAAACGAAATTACCATCAAAATATAGATCCCGACGAGAGGAATCCAACGGTAGGTGACCCGTCAAATTTCGACGGGTGGAACACAAAATAAAACTTCGGCAAGACCACCGTTCTCGAATGAAAAAAAATTGCAGAAACAGATCAGCGTTCGAAACTGAATGAAATCACCACCAAAAGAAAGAGCTCGACGAGAGGAATCCAACGGTAGTTAAACCATCGAATTCCGACCACCGGAGAGAGAGTTATGGCTCCGGGAAGCAATTTCGCCGGTGGGAGGTTTGTGGAGGCGAGATTTTGAATTTGGGAGATAAGAAGAGAGAGACCGTGAGTGGCTAGGGTTTAAAACTGATTTTAGAAGGGTATTATAGGAACTTCAGGGTAGCCCAGGGGGTATGTCAAAATATTTTCGAAATGAGGGGGGTTTCCCTTAGAGTGTAATCCACTTGGTAGTTATATATAATTTGAAAATGAGGGGGTCTACAAAATATATATATATATATATATATATATATATATATATATATATATATATATATATATATATATATATATATATATAATTTTTGCATATGGAATGGTTAATTTCTGTTTGTTTTAGAAGGAGTCTATTGTTACATCTGGTGCTTCAACTGATATAAACGCAGCAGCTCCGTTTCGCCGCCAAAGGTTCCTGTTTTCGTGATGCTCCCGGTGAGTTTGTTCACCATCATTCTCCAATCCCATTAATTAATCACATATATGTATATACTATAATAAGTTACAGTGAGCCATCCGGAGGAGGTTATCAACAGCCTCCAGAAGCTGAAGGCGATTGGTGTAGAATGTGTAATGGTCAATATCTGGTGGGGTATCACCGAACCAGATACACCACAGGAGTACAACTTGAAAGGATATCGTAAGTTGTTCACAATGATCAAAAACACGAGATTGAAGATTCAAGTAAGTTAATTAATTCATCATTTCATTTTTTTTTATTTTAACTTTCTTTTGAAGAATTCAAAATTCGTGATCATTAATATTTTACTTTTTTTTTTTTTACTTCAATATATAGGCCGTATTATCATTCCATGAATGTGGGGTAATGTCGGTGACGACATCAACATTCCATTACCTAATGGGTAATGGATATCGGGAAAACAAATGCCGGTATATTCTTCACCGACAGATATGGGAGAAAGAATGCGGAATATCTCTCGTTCGGAGTAGACGAGGAGAAGGTTCTTCACAAAAGGACACCAGTTTAGGCATATATATTTACACTATATTTGTTTTCTTACTAAATAAACTCTATTTTCTTGAAAAATAATGTTCATGTTTTTATTTAACACTAGAAAGGTGTGACGTGCGTTCCACGTCTCTATTAATTTATGTATATATTAAAATATATTGAAATAGTATAATGTCATATGTGTAGTGATTTTTTTTTCTTTTTAATTAGAACATTTTCGATCATGTGATTACTTTCATTTCGAGTTGTCTCGTTTACTCTTGATTGTTTATTATTATTTTCTTAGAACAAATGACAAATAAATATTAATGATAAATTAAACATAAATGAAAAATTTGATGGAGACATGATCATTGTCGTGAACCCACGGTTCACGAGTGAGATTCGACCTGGGTTCACAATTCAAAAGTACAAGACCATTAACCAATTTTAAGATTAAGAGTTTGATTATAATTTTTTGACGGTCCACGAGTCATAATCGACCTGGATTCTGACGGTTCACGAGTCAGAATCGATCGGGGTTCACAATTAAAAAATCCTAGACCATTAACCAACCCAAGTTAAGAATTTGATTATAATTCTAAAATGCAACTTCACAAATCGAGTGTTGGTTCAACCAACGATTGCCGACATATTTAAGCTGTTGTGATTACAATTTTTCAATGAATCAAATATTATTAATTATTGTATTTAACATGAATTAATGAACTATTTAATTATTATATATTTTACTTAATTGACCTTGAAGTTTTAATTATTTTACGGGGTATTTTTATCCACACATAAAATGGAAAAAAAACACCTAGATTCACACTTTTATATATGGTATAGATATATATTGAAGGCATACGAGCAGTTCATGTTAGCCGTTTAGAAATGAGTTTGTTAGTTTTCTACTTGATGGTACTATTTGCGAACTGCAAATAGGACTCGGCCCCTAAGGGGAACTTTGATTCCCGTCATATCCGACTAGGAATGGTTGAGTATATCCAGGGTAGGCGAATTCCAGGTAAAACAAAAAGAAGTATTTCTAATTTCATGTCATACGTTCGTTTGTATTACGAGAATTTAATTTTCAAATTTATTATTTGCTTATAATTAAATTATGTTTTTTGCTAGTGCTATTATAAATACCTCATTAAGAACCTGAAGGATTCGGTTGTGGTAGCAGGCAAGTCGGATTGGGGTACGGGTCCCAGCGATGCCGGGACCTACAACTCATTTTCGAATGACTGTCTTTTCTTCCGGGACAAGAAGGGGTACGACGAATACTATATTTACACCATGTATATATGATATTGGCGAGCGCCAACTCCGTTTTTTATGCACATCATATATCCACAAAGGTAATCACTAAACTTACATCACATGCTATTACTTTTATATTATTATATATACATACTATTACTACTTTTTAATGCAACTTTTTGTGGAATTAATGGGCAGGTTGCTGGTATTCATTGGCATTACAACCATGCAAGCCACGCAGCGGAACTCACGGCGGGCTACTACAACATTTTTGGGCGAAAAGGATACGCCCCTATTGTGGATGTGTTCAAGAAGAATCGGACGTTGTTAAATTTTACATGCATTGAACTCGCAATAGTGGATAAAGAAGGCGAAGCAGCCTCCGATCCGGAGTCCCTTGTCTGGCAGGTAATATTATTTGTTGGCTGCACCTATTTGCAAGCTCAAAATTTCTAAGCGCAAGACCTTACTTCATGCAAGACCAAAATATAAATAAATTTACTAAGAGCAAGACTGTAAATTACGAATATAACCCTAATATTAATTTTGATATTATTAATTGAAAAATGCCTAATTGCTATTGCAAGATAAAAAAAAAATGAAAAATGACCATTCTTCTTCACCAACAAAACCCAACCTCTTCTTTTCACAAAAAAAACTCTTTCATATTCTCCAAAAACCATCATCAAACAAGACCCTCAAATCTTACTAAAACTTGAAAAAAATGACATTATGGACACACGGAAACATTAATATGGATGATTCTAATGTCGAAGAACACAATGAGATAAGAAATGTTGTACTTCATTTAGCTTTGTGATCGTTTTCTCATTTTTCAAAAATAATTTCGCGTACACAAAAATTCGACGTTTACAGGTTGATATTTAGCAATAAAAACGACATTACAACGTCGATTTTCTCAATTTCTGAAAAATCGACGCTAGCATGTCGTTTTAATTGCTAAAAATCGACACACTGATGTCGAATTTTGAACAAAATATCGACACACAAATGTCGAAAAAAATGCAGATAATCGACAACAACTTATTGTCGAAATTTAGTGAAAATTTTGACACCAATGTGTCGAAATTTTACACAAAAATCGACAAGTACATGTCGATATTTTTAAAACCACAACTCCTTCAACAATGGTGGTGGAATCCAACCCTAAAATAATCCCCTATGTTCTAAATGGACTTGTGGCGACTGTCGACTGCAACGGCGACGGCGGTGGTGGTCAACTTCACCAGCGACGGCGCGAGACGGCGAATCGGCAAATGGTTCTCTTCTTCCCTCCTTCCCATTTTTCAATTGTGTTGGGCTTTTTTTTTTTTTTTTTTTAATTTGGTCTTGCAATAGTAATTGGTGTAATTATGTTTTATTTTGTTTGTATTTTACTAAAGTCATTATAGTCTTTTTACACTTAATATGATATAAAATTTAATTTGGTCTTCCACTAAGTAAATTTGGATTGCATATAGTCGCTGCCTTATTTGTTAGTTATTTATATAAGAAGTGTTTATGTGTTTGTGAAAATTGAGTGATTGATTTATTCAAATGTAAATACTAATGTAGGTGTTAAACACCGGTTGGGAGGCCGGATTGAACGTATCTCGAGAAAACACGCTCCCTGTTACGATCGGAATTCGTACAACAGGATAATTCAAAATGCTAAACGCTCCGGAATCATCAAATATCCAGATGGGCGGCAGTTAAATACTTTTACGTATTTGCGGTTGGCCCCGTTTTGATGGAAAAAGCCAATTTAGATGAATTTGCGATTTTTGTTATGAAAATGAAGGAGACTTGAAATTTATATTTTTGTAAGTTAAGTAAACTTGTTTTATAATTTGTTGTTTATGTACTAGCTAGTGTAGAATAACAATTAATCATATTTTCATCTATGCATATAATTATTCCTTCATAATTTATATTATCTTTCAAGAATATAGAGTTAACTTAATAATAAAACAAATATAGTGTAAATATATATACCTGAATTAGTGTCATGCCATGAAGAACCTGTTCCTCGTCCACTCCGAACGAAAGAAACTCGGCATTCTTTGATGCATCTTTGCGAAGAATATATCGGGATTCGTTTTTCCAATATTCATTACCCATCTAGGTAATGGAATGTTGATGTCGTCACCCACATTATCTCCACATTCGTGGAAAAACAACACGGCCTATATTAATTAAAAATAATATTTAAGTAAAAAACATAGGTAAAAAATTAATTAGCACGAATTCTGAATTCTTTCAAAAGAAGGTAAAGAGTTCAAAAAATGATGATTAATTGTAAATATTGTTAACTCACTTGTATCTTCAATCCAATGTTTTTGATGATTGTAAACAACTTGTCATATTCTTGCAGGTTGTGCTCTCACGGTGTATTCGGTTCGGTGATACCCCACCAGGTATCCACCATCACACCTTCCACACCGATCGCCTTAAGCTTCTGGAGGTTGTTGATAAGTTCCACGGAATTGCTCACATCATTGACATCAAGGGTCATGGGTTCCAAGTTGTTTCAGAAGAGAAAAATATATTAGTTCCAAGCTATTTTGGAAGAGAAAAATATATTAATTAGTATGTAACTAACAAGTATATACATACATGTGGATAATTAATGAAGGTGAAGACACTGACCGGAAGCATCACAAAAAACAGAACCTGTGACGGCGAAACGAAGCTGTTGCGTTCATTATCAATTGAAGCACCAGAACATTTATTTGATGATCGATTTTATATTATGAAAATTTTAATTTATATAGTTTTTTTTGCAGTTTATTTTCTAAATTTCTTCTTCGTTTCATTTATTTGATGATTAATTTCAAATTATGAAAATTTAATTGATATAGTTTTTTTTTTCATAAATGAGTTGTGTTATTAAATTTGTATACATACTGATATTGTTAAGGGTATCACTAATAAATTTCATTATAATTATTATTATCATATATTAATCAAATCATTACTTTTATTTTGAAAAGTTATCAAGTGCATTGCACGTGGAAAAATGTTAGTTATTGCATAAAACAACGAACTACATCATCTTATTTTCACCATGGTAAATGTCTAGTTACATTTCAATGCATACCAATCAAATAATGAATCCTCATTTTCTCTAACACAATTTCTGCTATTCATAGGTTTATACAATATCTTCTTTCTAAACTCTACCCCATATTCTCCAAAAATTCCTTTTAATTTACGAAAAAACCGTCTACACATTCGAATTTTCACCTTCCTCCGATTCCGATTCTTGGAAAGTTCCATACGAAGGTGGTGAATTTGCATGCGGAACATCCAATGCAACCGCCCTCTTTATAGCGGCCATATGCTCTTGCATGTGTTCTTTCGCAATCGAGGCTTGCCTTTCCATTCTTTGCGCAACCGGAATTTTCATAATTGGCTCTTTTTCCAGCATACACTAGAAAGAAAAAAAAAATCGTAACGACACTTTAATATAGATAAACGGGCTCTTTTTAGTGTTTTTCTATAGCAATTATTTCGACCAATCACAAATGAGGAAAACTTACGGTAAGTGTTCTTTGAGATTCCTGTAGTATCCAAATAATAGCATGGTCCGATATTATGTTGCAAGATAGTACAATATGCTCGAATCTTCCATCCACGGGTACAGCTGTTCTTACAAGTGGTGTAATTTTTTTAAACCTACAAATACACTCAACTCGATTTTTGGGGTCGTCTTCCAAAAATAGTACAAAATTTGTAAAAAAAAATAAAATATTACCTGAAAGGTTTTCTGACGATTATGTGATAGAGTCGACCAGGTGCGTACAACCGCCTCGGATCTTGAAGCATCTTTTCCTCGAGTGTGCAAGTATCTTTTAAGCACATTATGCACATCAAGCAAGGGAAACTATCAAAGAATGTGTACTAGTGTTAGTATCAAGTCGATTGCAATTTTTTGTGTAACGAGTGATTAATTTATCATGCCACATCATATCAAAAGCAAAATCTCGTATATATATTTACATATATGATCATATACTCTTAAGCCTCGTTTGGTTGCCAAAATCGGATTGGCCAACAATTTTTATCAATCGTTGCTAACTTTACCAACCAAACGAGGCCTTACACAAATGAAACGAGGCTTCATAGAATTACAAATGTGAGGCTGTTAATCGATTAAGAAGTTATTACTTGTTCGAGCAAGTGAATCACAAGTATACTGATAATTAATGCCACTATAGTAGTCAGTAATAATCGTCACTGAAAACGAAAAAGCGAAAAAAATAAATTAAATAAATACTAAATAGGTGGCAAGACCTGCAATCTTTTTACCATAAAAGTGATTTGAAGGCGTGTTCGAGTGCTACTGTCGTCCGTGGTAAGAAATCATCCTATTCAACACCAAAAAAAAAACCCGAGTTAATCCGTAGTTCAAGCTACTAAATCAAGAGACGGAATCACCGGAAGGTACAACAATCAATACCTGCAGTACAACCGAGTTAATCACGTCCGCATACCTAACCGCCAAGTTCAACGATATACACCTCGCAGGAGCAATAGCAAAACACCTAATCCTCTTCCTCTCGATCCCTCCCAATTTCTCCCTGTTATTGACCGCCAACAAAGTCAACAGAGTCACAACCCCCGCACCAAGCGAATGCCCCGCAAAAGTCAAACTATACCCACTAAACTTCTCGACGAGCCCCCTCAAAACCCCGCACTCTTCTTCCAAAACATACTGAGCCGCCTTCAAAAGCCCGTTATGCACATAACCACCGTCGTAAGTCGTCTGCCCTAACTTATTATCGAGCAACATCAGAATATCACTCTCTTTCCCCATATCGAGGCCCCTTATCGCCAAAACTATATCCGAATTCTCGTGGTCGAGATATATCATGTAAGGGGACACTTTCCCCTGTGTGTCGGTGTATTCCTTTTTGAGTAGGACCCAATCGGGGTTCATTCCGTAGCCTTCGGGCGGGGCCCACATGGGGTTCCGGAGGTCGTCCTCGTAAACGGAGAGGATGTAGCGGCAGAGGCGGGGGATCGGTTCGAACTCTTCGGGGGTGGCTGCCCCCCAATTCTCGCTCTCTTGCCCCGCGGTGTAGAGGAATTTCTTCCACACCCAACGGACGCACGCTAGGCAGGACACACATTCGACTAGTGGAATGCAGCAGGCAACAGACATTGATGCCTGTAAGAAGTTAATTTTGTACTAATCAAGAAACAACATGGATTTTATTTTTAATCCAATCTTGAATTTTCCATTTTTTTTTTTCAAGAAATCAAGATGGGTGGTAAATATATAACTCAAATTCAATAAAATCCAAAAGGGTATTTTTCTTTTAATCTAATCTACCATTTTCTTGAAATAATTTTTTTTTTCAAGAAATGAAGACAGGTGAAATTGGAAAATAAAGTTAGTTGATTACCAGGCAGCCAGCAGCATAAGCATCAGAACAGTCGATTGATTAGCATCAAATTCAGCCTTTTTAATTGGGGAAAAGAAAACCCAAATCAAAAGTAGCTGCAACAAAATCAAAAGATCAAATTCCAAAGAAAGTGAATTTAGATATAATCAATTAGTAACTAGAAACCCAGGAGGCATGATTCTTTGCTCGAAAATGGGAAACAAGATCCGAGAAAGTAAGTTCAGTAAAAGTGTGTGAAAAGTAGTGAACACACACACACACAAACAAAAAAATAAAATAAATTAAATTAAATAAATAAAGGGGAAATGAGAAATCGTGGAAAGGCGTATTGTAAAAAATCTACCTGCAACTATGGGGAATTGCTAAGTCAAACTCAAAGGCATAGCAGCTGAGATGAAGCTCCATTTTATTCCTTTTAGATTCCCTCGTTTTTCTTGCTTTCTTCATTTTATCAAAGGAGTAAGTCGTGTTGTTGTAAACGCGCTTTTTCGCTATTGTATGTAAATTAAAAAATTATATTAAATGGTCAATTTTTATTTATTTTATTAATGGGAATTGGCCAAAATTAGTCTTCTATCGATTATGAAAATTACTTAAATCAATTTTTTTATAAATATAATACTCACTAACGATGGAAGATAAAATTAGTATTAAAAAATCTACCTTAAAACTTTATATAGCAGACATAATAATAATATGACAACATAAACATGGCTAAAAGATCATTAAAAGACAAACTATATATATAATGCAAAAGATCACTTGCGCAGCCAGTATGGGGTCGGGCCATAACCTCCCAACATTTCTCGAATTCCTATTATTTTATATATTTAGGCCCCATTTGATAGTCAAGATAAGCTATGATTAACTAAATAGTTGGACTTAATTTGATGTTTGGTATTCCCAATAAATTGTCTGGTCGATCCACCAAAATTATATAATCATGGCTTATTTTGCCTTATCTTGCCTTCTAATGAGTTTTTTTTTTTTGTTAGACGTTTCAAGCTCCAATAAAATAATTGGGTCTCATTAGATTATTTAATTTTATCTTAGCTAATCTTTTCTTACCAACCAAACGAGGCATTATTAATATAGAAATATAAAAACTTCGTGTGTGATAGATAAAATTCACGGTCCCTATAAGTTTTTTAATGCATGCCGCCCCAAACTTAAAATCTTGATTCCTAGTAAGAAATATGATTTTTTTTTTAATATAAAATGACGTCATAAATAATTGTTACAATATTTTAATCATTGTAAAGATGTAGGACTTTGTATGCACCATGTGATCTAAGTGGTGGGAGCAGTTAAGAGTAGGTGGTCGGTCATAAATTATGAAAAATTAAAAAATAAAATGATTAAATTGTCACTTCAAAACATTATCAATTATCTAAGTATGGTCAAATATGGACCTTTACTTTATTTATGTTATTTTTGGCCCTATGTATGTGGCATTGTTTAAGGCCCCACCCAATTGTCTTTAATGCTTATGAGTGTCGAGAAGTTTTGACATAGCCGGCTCGGCATGTAGGATCGGATAATTTTCGGTTAATTACCTATCTGATCCGATCAATTAATTTTGTTGAATACTGAAAAATCATTAACGGTCCAATTATTTTGAGTCGAGTAATTGTTGACAACCGACTTCGTGGTGATAATAATTGGTCGTTTGGTTGATTCGGTTGGTCGATATTATCCGATCAACTGACTTTTGAATAAACTGAAAACACTGATCGACTCATATCTATGGGTCAATTAAAATTACCAATCCAGCTATATGGATAGGGTAATTATTAAATATCGGCCAAGAAAAGTGGGTCGAAAGTGAGTCGTTTCCGATAAAACCGACTCGTGTCCAACCTTACACATGTAAAATTGTAAATTTTGTAAATTGCATATGTAATAAATTTAAACAATTGCTAGAACTTAGCACATTAAGCCTAATATTGATTTTATAGACACCAAAATCAAATACTTCGAATATCATTTATATTATTGTAAATCTCATTATTAACATGTACATATGCGTACATAGTTGAATATTATAGTAAATTTTATGGGTTTAAAATTAATTCCAATTTCAATATGATCCACACATTGGAAAACATCCTTTCTTTATCCAATTTTATTATGTCAAAATTGAAAATCAAATAAATGGGATTCCAAAGTCGATCCAAATCGACGGAATTTGGAAATTTTATTTTTGATTCTTTTATGATATAAATAAATAAGTAATAATATTGATATAGAAAATGTAATTTCAAAAAATAGAAATTTCTGAATTAATTATATATAAAAAAAAATCTTAAATGAAAAAGTATTTGCTAGTCCAATTTTATTCGTAATTGAGCGTATTGGCCCATAAAGCATAGAAAAGTCTTAAGCCCATTTGCTTGGAAAAAGGCCCGGCCCGTATTACATATATTATCAACAAAATGAGCTAACTAAGAGGAGAGAGAGAAGAGAGAGAACTGAAGAAAAGAGGAGAACAGAGACGTAGAGCTGTGGGTCGGCGGAAGTGGTGAGCTACCGACGGCGACAATGAGCGATTCTCCGACGGAAAGCTCAATTAGTGACGCCGCAGTGCGCAATTATACAATTTTCGTAACGGCAACATCACTCCGTCGCGCTTTTTTCGGATTAACCGCCACCACCGTCGGAAGTCCCTGCCTCAGCCTTTGAGTGACCGCCGAGGCCAAGGTTGGAAAATATTGAAATGATTTTATACTTTTGGCCGTCCATATTTTCAATTTGTGATTTCTTCAATTTTGAACTTTCCTTTTTACTTATGAAGTATGTAGGTTAGAAGTAATGGAGTCGGTGGAACTGAATTCGATCATAAGAGATACTGCTTTTGATTACGGCGGTGTTTTTAGATTTTCGTTAGTTGACGATGATATTCTGCCGTGATCATATTGTTTGTTAGCCCTTCCAGAATGGTAGGCCGATTGTGTTTTTCAGGTTTTGTTGTTGGAGATTATATATTGCCCTAGAAATAAATACCGCTTGCATTCTACGATTTAATCTTCTTACATTATGTTTCCCTTTTGTCAGTTGGCATAGTGTTGATTTTCCCTCTCATTTCGTGTCTATTTCTGAAGGAATATGTGTTCTACGACTCGCCAAACTTTAGGTGTTACTTAGGCTAATGATTTGGCAGAAAGAAGCTAGTGATTGAATTGATTCCGAGGAGATTGGAGATGCATTCGATAGGGCCACCTCTATGTGAACATTGGAAATAAGTATGGTGTATGATTGGTGTTGAGATTCTTCTTTCCCAAAGTAAGTATATATTGCTCTTACAATTTTTCAAGAAAATATAATGTGACTTTCTATTTACTTGAAGAATTGGAGCATATTCCACCACATATTTGCAATCATTTTACATAATGTTGGTGAATAGAAATATCATGGGAATATCCTATTATGTACATACTGCTTCTGCAGCACTACCTTACATTATTGGGACTGCATTTTCTCTGTTCAGAAGTTAATTTCTGTGATTCAATATATTCTTGTTCTTTAAAACTCAATCAAGTATATTAGAAGTTTAGAACTGAAGAATTGTGTTTTCCCTAACCAGAAAATTAAGTGCATAGTATGTGTTAAATTTAAGGGTTCAATTTGGTGATATGTAAAGTCTTGGCTTAGGTTGTCTAATTGTGGTTAAGAGAAGTAGTTTTCATATAATGTTGATATGGAAGCCATGCTGCTTTCAGTTCGGGATTAGTTGTTACGGAAATGATTTTCTTTTTCTGATAGTTTCGAATTCTGCTCCAATCATATTCCAATTTTCCCTTCATCCCTTTTGATTGAGTTCAACTTGGCACTTGGCCCGTTTCTACAGGTATAAGTACAAGGCAATAAGTAGATCCTGCACGCACACAGCTCGTGAAGTAGCCTTGTTAATTTAGATAATTGAACTCGTAAAAGTTGCACTGAGTTTCTCACTGGAACAAGTTGATGCGTTAAAATGAGGTGATATGCATTATCAGCTTTACAAATTCAGGAAAATTTTGAAGAGATTTCAGAAGAAAGCTAAAGTATTATCCCTTTATAATGCACAGAGTTCTTTTCTGTACTACTCATTTCAATTGACTGCGTTGGTACATTTTACATATGATTACTTAACCTTCATGGGCCCGTGAATTTGAAACTAACAGTTAAGATAAGTTGGTTAGTGTGAAGCAAATTCTGTGACTTTTTTGTATTATCATCTATTATACTTCATGGTAATGGAATTATTTTTTTTGGTGTCAAATAGTTATCTTTTGGATATACTCAATGCGTGTTTGAAGGGACTCAAGAGTGCATGGTTTTTCCACGATGCCACACTTATTAGCGCCATAAATACTCTTTTTACAACGACGGACTATGATTGTGCCTTTTTTTTTTTTCCATTTTAAGTTTCTTCATAATGGGATCCAAAAAAAAAAAAAAAAGAAGAGAGAGTAATTTAATAAAGGCATTTTAGTTTCCCCAAGTGAAATGTGTATAATGAGTTAGCCATGTGGAGGGAAGGGCACGGAGACCAATTATGTGAGTTGGTAAGGGCAATATCGTCTTCTTGTTTTAATTTCGCATTCCTTAAACCCTCCTCCCCGCTCTCCCTCTCTCTATAAATATCCTAAGTTTCTTGCCATTGATAGAGGGATTAGGTTTTCCTGTTTAGCTTTGATTCCATTAATGATTCGCGGCTGCCTGAGAAAGATGGAAAATCAAGCCCCCCTGGATCCTTAACCAGAGCACGAGCCGGTGTAAGACATCTTACCGATCTCTTTATAAGTCTAAACAATCAACCCTGCGTTATTTTATGAATCACGACTGGCTGCTTGGCTCTGTTGCACTAGGTACGAAATCTAAGACATAGATTGCTCATTGAATTGCTTTCTTTTCCTGTCTGTTGAGAAGGAAAAGTTGCCGACCCAACCAATTTATTGCCAATTATACTTTGATGAGTGAGTTTGAGTTTTTCTGATCTCTTCCTTGGCAAGAAAACCGTTACGAAAGTTCTTTAAATCTAGGGTAAATTTGTACTTTTAATCGACTTAAACTGTAAATTAATTGGAATTGGTGAGGTTGTGTTATGATGGATTGTAATCAAGGAAGTGGTTTTGCTGATGGAAATGTGGTTCAGTTTGAATCTGGAAACCTAGAAAATGATGTCAATGAAAACCCCTGTCTCGGATCCATTGATCGAGCAGTCTCAGCCATTGAGGATGGTATTCAGAACAGAGAAACCTCTGTCGACATTAATCCAATGTCAAATCAGGAGGGAACCCTATCCCAGTTTGGAGTGGGAAGTGAGCCGCAGAATAAAAGGCCTAGAAGTTCCCTCATGGTGGATTTAATGGCTTCTGATCGCTCAAAGGTTATAAAGATGCTCTACAAGACAAAACTCTGCAAATTCCGAAATGGCAATTGTTTAGCCAAGAACTGTAATTACGCACACAGTTCTGAGGAACTTAGGGAACCACCTAAATGGCAGGAAATTTTTGCTGAACCACCAAAGGAGGAAGATCTCGAATTATCAGAGACGAGGGAAGTGTTTCCGATACCAGTTGTGGAGTTAAGTGGCGAGACACAGGGAATTTCTATGAGGCAATATTGCCTAAATTACTATACCGAAGAAGGTTGTTTGTATGGTGAAAATTGTAATTTCATTCACGAAGAGCATGATCGAGAATCTGTGGCGATATGTTTGCTTCCTGGCAATGATTGTGTATCTGAGGAGGGCAATGTGAGTAAACCAATTGTGAGGTTTGCTAATTGGAGAACAAGGCTTTGCACGAAGTGGGAGCGGACAGGGTGCTGTACCTTCGGCAGCGAGTGCCATTTTGCTCATGGAACTGCAGGTATAATTTATATAGCATTTTCAATAAAAAAGAATGAAATTATATCTGAGTCTGTTTTTGAACTTGTCTGAGTTGCATTTATTAGCGTTGCATGATGTTTTTTCCGGACTTGTTTTTAGTTCTAGTTAATGCAGCTTCAGTTCTGTTTTGTGGTTTGGACAGCATTTATTGTTCGATATTTTGTTCGCCTAATTTGCCAGTGACTCATGCTATAAGCTAGATATATCTGTCAGTTGTCTAAGGAAATGTTACCTTTATCTCCTCTAGCTTCGTAAACTTACCATGGAGTATTCAATATAATAGTTGGCTTTTCTGTATACCGTTGTCATTTTCCTTATTTACATGTAAAGCTAATACCACCTGCAAACATAACCTTCCAGCATAACTGCACTTTGTTCACAATATGACTAATAACTTAGCATCACCATCTCATTCTATTTAGATTTTATTGTTAAAAGTTCTAATTAAAGGGGATGGATAAAAAAATATCGTGATCTCTTAAGATCAACATTAAGTTTTAATTAAAGTTGTATATTGCATGTTCGTGTTGATTGGTTGTAGAAATCGGTCTTTGTGAAACTAGAAAGGGACAACCCGGAAAAAACATTTACTCAGAGTCAGCCGAAGAATAACTTTCTTGGATTCTGTTTCTAGGTGCACTTTTTCCTTATGCGTATGCTTCTCGAATTGTTTACACAAGTTGTTTGTTGGACTGGTTTTTTGTATTTCAATGACCAAATACCATATTAAATTGTTTTGTATCTATACTTTTCCCTTTGAGTGATCTTTATCAGGATCAATACATCAATATATCGAAGTTATTCCATCTGAAAACTTCGCCTCATAATCATCGAAACCGAACCCCACCTCGCAAAACAAAAGACTTATATTTCTTGAAAAGAAAATTTCCGACTAAATTTTAAAAAATTAAATTTTATATTATCTTACTTCTTATGTCTGATTGATGTGTGAGTTACATTATTGAATTGGAAATCTTTGTGAACAGAGCTTCAACGCTATGGTGGAGGACCAGTGTACGGAGCAGTTAATGATTCCCCTGTACTTGCTGCCAAGGCTTCTGCAAGAAGAAGGTTGCCGAACTTGATTCACAAGACTGGAGAGATACCTTCTCGGAAATGGAGCGGTCCCGAAAAAATTAGCAAGATATATGGAGATTGGATTGATGATCTTCAGTAGTCGGCTTTCCAATTAAAATCGACAGTTTTTTTTTTTTTTTTTTTTAATAATTATTATTATTGCTAGACATCAATGAATTTCCTTTAAATTTATTGAGAGATTGGATTGATGGTCTTCAGTCAGTGGCCTTTTGCAAACAAATGACTGTTTGTTTTATTTTTTAAGACTTGAAAGATTTTCCTTCAAATTTATGTTAACATTTTGACTTGTGTTATAGTTCTATGTTGTATTAGGATGTTTTTTTTTTTTTTTGTTATTATTATTAATGACGTCATTTTGTTAGTCACTCTCAGTGTAGCACGAGCACGAAAATGACGATACAGGGAAACGGATGTCCCAAAAATAGGAATATGAGAACTTGAGGGAAATATATAAATATTAAAAGTATAGAGGTATGTTTATAAATATGTTATATAAACATATATTAGATTTTATTTTTATATGTTTCCATATAAAAATATATTGAAAATAAATATTATTATAAACTAGTATTTTGTAATTGATAATCAAATCATGTAAATAATTAGGGAAATAAAAAATTCTTTTTGAAAATTCACATTTCAAACAGGTTTCTAACTTTTCAGAAATTTCAAAATTGTGTATAAAGAGTTCGGCAAGAATTAAAGCCCAAATAAATCCTACAAGTTTCTTCTTGTACGGATGGCCCAACTAAAATTTACTTATTAACTTTTACCCCCTTGGGGAATTTATATATTAGAAAAGTAACCACAAAAGACGTGAAAATGTAGTTTCAGCATCAAACTTTGGCTTCTCTCCCAATTCTTCGGCGCTTTGTAATCTTCTGCTGAAAGATACAGCTACATCGCAGAATCCAACTCCTCAAAAGGTAAATTCCTCAATTAATTTAGTTTACTGCTTATTCCGTAATGTGATCTGTACATTTCTGTACGAGTCTATGGCATTTTTCTTTTCTGGTTCTAATGAACACGATTTTTTCCACAATTCCATATATTCTCAATTTTTTCTAGGTTTTTTTTATTGGTTGATAGATCAGAGAAACCGATTAAAAATTGAATAATTAATAACATTTGTATACAAATATTACTGGCTTTTTTTTTTTTTTTTACTTTAATCGCAAATTCGAGTGATTGGTTGCGTTCTGCTAGAAATTTAATTTGATTTTTCAGTAAAAAAAATGGTAATTTTTTGCATCAGCTACAGAAAATGAAATGAAATGCTTGTGGGATATGTGTTAGAAGTTACTCTTCTTCTGACTTTTGCTATTTCCTTTATGCTGAAAATTTCAGTTATTGGTAGCCGAAAGCATGGAATTCGGGGAAAGTCGATCCTCCAGTACCGAAATTGAATCGGAGAAGCCATCCTTAATACCTGGAATTCCAGATGATATAGCCCTTTGTTGCTTAGCGAGAGTTCCCCGAAAGTATCATCCGATTCTCAACTGTGTTTCGAAGAGATGGAGAGATTGGATTGGCTCTCAAGAATGGCTTTCATATAGGGTGAAGCATAAACTGGATGAGACTTGGATTTATGCTTTATGCAGAGATAAATCCGAGCAGCTTTGCATGTATGCGTTGGATCCCGACCAATTGAAAAGAGGCTGGAAACAGATTCGTGGCCTTCCGTGCAATTGTTTGAAGAGAAAAGGCGTCGGATTTGAAGTGTTGGGTAAGAACATTTACCTGTTTGGAGGATGTGGTTGGATTGAAGATGCTACTGATGAAGTTTATCATTATGATGCTTCGGTGAATACTTGGACTAGAGATGGTTCTTTATCCACTCCCAGGTATTTGATTTAGAATTCGAATGGGGCATTTATTACCTTTTTTACTCAAATTTCCCCTCATGCTCCGAATTAATGGAGCTAATTCATGGAGAGAGAATTATTAGAGGGACATAATGTTTTAGTCCATTTCGCTCGGATTCATGCATATTTATTAGTTTTCTTATTACTTGTGCCGAAACCTTGAAGTACAGATAATATGAAACGGAGGGAGTAAATATAGCCCATGGTTGCTTGAAGAAACTAATCAATAAATATATGTATTTTTTATTTCAGTATTATGTTTTGCTTTTTACTTCACATTACTTAAAGATTCTGTGAATATTTTTTGTTTGACAATGACAATATTTGTCGAACGCCTAATCCTGTGAAGCCTATCACATTCTTGAATGTACTTTGAACTTGAAGGAACTCCTATACTTGTATTTTTTTCGGACGGAGGATCTTTTCGAATGTATGCGTGTTTATATGAATGTATGCAGCGATAAACATTTTCATTTTTTTGTCAAATTGTCACAAAAGATTTGTGCTGATTTGATGTTGTTCCGTGTCATTGATTCTATTAGGTGCTTCTTCGCGTTCGAAGCTTTAGATGGTAAAATTTATGCTATTGGAGGGCTTGGAAGGAATTCAAGCAATCCACATCTATGGGACATTTACGAAAGCCGTACAAATTGTTGGAGTTCTCATGCAGACCCAAATATTCTTCCCGATATCGAAGACTCAATGGTATTTGATGGGAAAATTTACATTCGGTGCGGTAATTCATCTGTATCTCCTCACGTGTACGCCGTTGTGTACGAGCCGTCAAGTGGCATGTGGCAGCACGCGGATGCTGACATGGCATGCGGGTGGCGGGGCCCATCGGTTGTGATAGACGGTGTCTTGTATGTGTTGGACCAAACTTCGGGGGTGAGGTTGATGATGTGGAAGAAAGATGTTAGAGAGTGGGTGGCTGTAAGAAGACTTTCGACTCACCTCATAAGTCCACCGTGTCGGCTTGTGGGAATCGGTAAGAGAATATTCGTTATCGGGAAGGGACTTAGCACTGTGATGTTTGACGTTGAAAACGCTGGCTGTGTGGATGGTGTTCTGGTGACGACTTCTGTTCCGAAATTGACTTCTGACGATGATGTAATAAGCTGCAAGTCTCTTGCTATTTGAGCTTCTTTTTTGTAACTAAATGTGAATTTCCTTTGTGGTTTGTAAAATATATATACATACTTGGTAATTTGATCCCAAAAAAAAAACACAATTTGATGTTGTTGCCTTGATACTATGTTGGAATTTCTGAGATTGCTTTATTTTTATCTTTAATTTTTTTCAGAAATTTATTTATTTGTTCTAATTTATCGATCATTGCCATACATTCTTGCTTCGTCTTCAAGACAAGAAACATCATCGAAGCTTTACTCGGAACCTTCTGTTTGACAAGTTGAATTTTCTCAGCTTCCATTATCGACTCCAGCTCTACATTCTTTGTCGAATCAATGATTCAGCGCTATAGTTCGAAGATGCCTGACAATCTAACATCAAGAAATCAAATATTTTCGTATTTTATGATTAAATCGCATGTTTGAAATTTCTTGCAAGATACATCAGAAATGCAAGCACATAAAATTTTGTATATTCGGTTTTATAGCACGTAAAAAAAAAAGATTATTCCCTAGTCCCAAAAGCTACAAAGTAAAACCCCCCATATTTCAACAGAAACAATATGTATAAATTGAAAAAACCACAGAAATGTACGGGCCTTTGATGATGCCAGCTTCGATATCCGACCCGGGAAGCATACTGGTTTCGAATTCGGGTCCTTCTTCGAGTAAACGGGTTGGCAAAACGGGTCTTTGTTGCAACTCTTCTTCTGTGGATTCTATGAGGTTCAATGCAACGTCGTTACAGGGCTGAATGGACATTTTATGAGGGAATTAGGGGTTTGAGAATATTTGAAAATTTGAAATAAAACAAAAAAAGGGGCTACTTTGTGATTATATAAAAAAATGAGGGCTAATGTTGTCATTTAGAAATTATATAATTTTTAATTTAATAAATTAATCTCACTTTTATGCGAAGAACTGACTCAAATGTTTCTATTATGGGAAACAATTTCCTGTTTCATATATTTGCTGCAAGAATTAAAATCCCAAATTCTCCCAGAAACCCGCGGAGAAACGACATCGTTTTACACTCTGAGAAACCCCATTTCTCCTTTTCCCGTATTTCCCGACCAGTTAGCATGGACGAAGAGTACAAAGCTTTCGATTTTGCCAGTTGGAATTTCAACCCAAAACACAAGCAAAAAGAATACCCATTTCTTTTTTTCCTCGGATACTCCGACCTCGACGACGACTCTTTTGGAGTTTCCGATAATCCGTAACGGTAACTGTTACGTGGTGGCTTGAGCCATGATTAAGAAATAGTGATTACATACCTTGTTGTTATCTTTGTGTTGTGTTTTCCTCCAGCACACCAAGTGTTTGTTGAATTGTCTCTGTGATACTGCTGAACTTTTATTCCTCTCTTTCTCATGGATGATCATAGGCATCAATCAACTTCAACAAAGGTAAGTCTTCTTCTTCTATTCTTCGTGTACGAGCTGGTATTCACAGCTTTGGAAAAATCAATATATCCTTTAACTGGAAAACATATTATACCAATCTTGTTTTTTATGTTGAGCATGTTTCTGATTATGTTTTGAAATTATAGTTGTTATTAATCTAGAAATAGCTCTGTTTATACTGAAAATGGAGATAATTGTGCGTGCTGTTTTCTACCACCCTTCTCAATCATTTTCCATCTTCGGTCTTTTCAGCAACAGATGCCATCTGAAATTGACCAGGAAGGAGAAGGTCCATACCGCCTTCTTTTTTGTTCGAGTAAGGGCGATAAAGCTGGTGTTATGCAGGAACTCGTAAAAGGCGTAAGTCCGAATTTGGCCGACTATGATAAGAGAACCGCACTTCACTTAGCATCTTGCGAAGGGTGCATGGAGATAGTTGTTCTACTTCTCGAAAAAGGAGCCGATGTTAACTCCATGGATCGATGGGGTCGAACTGTGAGTAGTTCAATCCATAAAATTCTTACATATGATGTGCCAGATTTTTTATTTTTTTATCTAATTTGGTCAATGTTAGTGTAGAATTGTGTCTGCGTTTTTTCCTACTATGATAATCATTCTGTAGTCTTTCCACACACTTAATAAAGCTACGAGATTTCTCCTAAGAATATTTTTAATACGTTATGTTATTGAAATACTGTGCAGCCACTCTCTGATGCTCGTAGCTTTCGCCACCACGATGTTTGCAAAGTTTTGGAGGCGCATGGTGGAACTGATCCGGTATATACTTTTCAACAGTGTGCTATTGTAGTTTTTCCACTAAATTCGGATATTTTTCCTTAAAACCATGAAAAAGCATAGTTGGAGTCTATTTCGCTTTATGAGTAATTGGGAAGTCTCGTTTCAATTTTTGATTTTTACAGATGGGACTTGACTCTCAAACTCCATGTTTTGAAATTGATTCAGTTGAGGTGGACATGAACGAAGCAACTCTCATCGGTGAAGTAATTTTTCTCCACATGCACATCTTTTAATTTTTTGTCCTTACGCCGAACAAATTGAAGATTCTTCTGCTTCTTCAATATCCGATTTCCGTTGAATATTCTAAGATCCATGCATATTATAAATCAATAATTGCAGGGTTCTTTTGGGGAAGTTTACTCAGTCAAGTGGCGTGGGACAGAAGTTGCTGCAAAAACAATTCGATCTTCCATTGCTTCAAATAAAACAGTAAAGTGAGTTCTTTTTATTACGCGGTGCAGCTTCTTTTCTGATACTATAAATGACCAACAAAGAGAAAATTTGCGTACATGTTGACCAGTAATGAATATATGCGGTTTATTGGCTGTTGAATTTACAGGGAAAACTTTCTAAAGGAATTAGCCCTGTGGCAAAAATTACGTCACCCTAATATAGTGCAATTTCTTGGTGTTCTAAAGCACCCTGACCGCTTGATCTTCCTCACCGAGTACCTAAGAAATGTAAGTGTGTTAGTAATTTGTCATAGTATTTGAATTTTGAATATATTTTTTAATTGTTTCGGTTAATGAGAATGGTAGGGAAGTTTGTATGATATACTGAGAAAGAAAGGACGACTCGATTCACTGACTGCAGTTGCATATGCTTTGGATATAGCAAGGTACATGTTCAAACGGAAATTACAAACTTAGTTCAGATTGGAATGGAAACTTTATTGAATTCTATTAAAACTGAAATATTTTGCCTCCTAACCTACATTTCTCGAGTTAATTGCCTTCGTTAATTGTTAAACTTAACAAAGCACCCCCTATGATGCATTTATTTGAGCAAACAACCCTCTAAATGGTGAGTTTTTAGGGGGTAGTTTGCTAAATACACTAGATAAGAGGAAAAAATGGAAAAATAATTAACCGAGTTTTAAAGTCCACTGAACTGTTATTTTTCCTGTATTCATTGCTTAACCATATATATACTGAAATCAATATTTTATGGTGTGTTTTTGCAGAGGTATGAATTATCTACATCAGCATAAACCCCACGCCATTATCCATAGAGATTTAACACCGAGGTACCTAGTAATGATTTTAACCAAATTGTCCCTCCCACATTCATTTTGATGTAGGTCATGTACTAAATATTTCTAGGACTTGATTTGCTCTTCAAATTGCGTTATTACATAATTTTGCGAGCCATTACATGATTGAACATTTCTTACAGAAATGTTTTGCAGAGTGACGCAGGGCGCCTAAAAGTCACCGACTTTGGATTGAGCAAGATTTCTCAGGGTAGAGATGTCGGCTATAAAATGACAGGCGGAACTGGATCATGTACTATTATCCATCAATTACGAAAAAATAAAAAAAATAAAATGATTTTAGAAATCTTTACAAGATTATATTCTGATTATTTTTTCCAGACCGCTACATGGCTCCAGAAGTCTACCGTCGAGAATCTTACGGAAAAAGCGTCGATGTCTTTTCTTTTGCCATGATTGTCCACGAGGTAATTATAAACTGAGTTCGTATTATCATAATTCTTGCTATCTGGTAATTTTCACTCTTGTTATCTGGAAATTAGATGTTTCAAGGAGGACCATCAAATAGGGGAGAAGACGCAGAAAAATTGGCAGACAAACGAGCATACGAAGATTCACGACCCCACCTCCCTTCAATGATGTATCCTGAACCAATCAGAAAGTGAGTTGAATAAAACATTCATCAAACTATTTGAATTTAGAGTTCTCCAATTGAAAATTGCTGATCTTGATTTTAGGCTTCTACAAGATTGTTGGCATAAGAGCCCCGATCGAAGGCCTACATTCGAAGAAATTATAATGCACCTGGAGATTATACAAGAGAACCTTCAAGAAAAGGGCATAGGGACATGCTGCAGCTGTTTGATCTTGTAATAAGATTTTAAAAATATCATGTTTTCCATAAATATACAAAAACATTACATGATTATCATAATAAGCAATTTGATTAAGACATCTATTCATATTTTTTTTACCTTAATTTTTTTTTGAAAAACATTGGCTTTTGCTGTGTTTAATTATTATGTAAGTTAAACACTAACATCAAAGTCTGGGTGGTGTAGTCGGTTATCACGCTAGTCTCACACACTAGAGGTCCCCGGTTCGAACCCGGGCTCAGACATTTTCTTTTATTTTTGCTACCAGTTGTTTGCATCCCCACCTTTTCACCAAAGCTCCCTTCGAAATTAATTCTCAATTTTTTTTTTTCTCTCTCTACAGTTAATTTTACTTTCTCCATTGTTATAAAGTTTCAATTTCTCAAGGAAAAAAATACTTCATCTTCCATTATGTACGCTCAAACGCTTCCATTTTCTAAGCACATTATCCACAATCCACCAACAAAGCGACAGATTCCGGCGTTTCCACCGAATTCGCAACTTGGGTTTTCAAATTCAGCGAAAAGGGTTTCTGTATCAGGAATCAGTTCGAGAAAAAGTGCCCATTTGGCTATGATCGTGTGTGGTGGGTCGCAGGATAAGCAAGAAGTTGTAGATGATGGGTATTACATGAGGAGGTGTGTTGAGCTTGCGAAGAAGGCCATTGGTTGCACCAGTCCTAATCCAATGGTTGGTTGTGTAATTGTGAATGATGGTAAAATTGTCGGCCAAGGATTTCACCCTAAAGCTGGGCAACCTCACGCTGAGGTTATTTCACAATTTCCTCTTCCTCTGCTGCATTTTTATGTCTTGATTGAATACAAATCTTTGCTGTGTGTGTGCGAGAGAGTGTTTCTCTGTGTGTGTGTGTGTGTGAGAGGGAGAGAGAGAGAGTCTCTGTGTGTGTGAGAGAGAGAGAGAGAGGTTAATTCTTTGCTGTAGTTCATAGTAGTAGGGCTAATCTGAATGAAGATCTTTTAGAGAGAGAGAGAGAGTGAGGTTAGTTCTTTGCTGTAGTTCATAGTAGGCCTAATCTAATTGAAGATCTTTTAAACTGAAATTTCTGAGAATTATGTTAATACATATATACAGAGAATTTGACCTTTCAAAAGAAAAGAACTACAGGTTTTTGCACTAAGAGATGCTGGTGATTTAGCCGAAAACGGGACAGCATACGTCAGTTTAGAGCCGTGCAACCATTACGGAAGAACGCCGCCCTGCACGGAAGCACTAATCAAAGCCAAAGTGAAGAATGTAGTGATTGGTATGGTCGATCCGAACCCCATTGTGGCTTCAACTGGAGTCAAAAAATTGCAAGAATCGGGTATTAAAGTTACTATTGGAGTCGAAGAAGATATGTGCAAAAGGCTCAATGAAGCCTATATCCATTATATGCTCTCACGAACACCGTACCTTACTCTCAGGTACTTGCATTGTCTACTCGGTTTTTTCTATTTGCACGAATAATTTGATTTCAGTTTCGGTTGGTTTGAGTTTGTATTTTTCGATCAAAAAGTACGTCAAAACCCTTACTTTTCATCTAAATCAAACTTGAAAGGGTGAAAATGACAATAAAAATTTACAAATATTTGGTTAAAGGGTAAAAAAAAATTGCAATTAATTTTTGTTTTGCACATCTTCATTTTTCGGTTAGCCAATGGCCAGATGGGGCTAAATTGTTGACTGCAACCAAACCTCAAGGGAGTTATATGTAATTTTCCAAACCTTAGGGGATCTATTCGTAATTTGACATTCGTTTGGTTAATCAGGTATTCGATTACACTTGATGGCTATCTACTGAATGAGCTCAGTGAAGAAGCTATGGAGTGTGGTGGATATTATTCGAAACTTTTGCAAGAATACGATGCTATTGTACTTTCTTCTACGGGATTGGTCGACAAGTCTTCGTTTCCTATTTCGAATGAACCCGGGGCAAACCAACCTCTTAAGATCGTACTTAAGAAAGATTCTGCTTCGAAATTATCGATAATATCTGAGGGAGATATAGTTCAAGAAGGAACAAGTTTGTCTGAAATTCTCGAACACTGCAAGAATCGAGGAATGTGTAGTGTCTTAGTGGATTTGAGGGGTGATGACGTGGATTTTGAGGGCGTAATTAAAGAGGGTCTCGAGTTGAACTTGTTCCAGAAGGTTGTGGTGGAGGTTTTGCCGTTTTTCGGTGGTGGTGGTGAAAGGAGAGTGTTGAAGGGTATGGATGTAAAAGCGAAGGTGAAAAAGATGACATCGTTTGCGTCTGGTAAGAGTGTTATACTAGAGGGGTATTTCTGACTAAATTTGTGTCGAATAAATTGCACGAAGATCGGTGAAGAACAAATGAAGGTCCTTTTTTTTTCTTTTTTTTTTCTTTTTTTGTGTTGTTGAAGATGACTATACGAGGATGTAATAGAGACGAGAACAAAGGTGTAATTTATTGAATAATATTTTATTTTTTTGGTAATAATAAAATACGCAGCCAAGCATACAAGTGCACTGGTTAAACTTATACCCTCGTATAATAACTTGCAAACTATACGTAGGACGTAAATCACACTAGGCTAACTACGTGTGACAGACTCGACCTAACGATCAAAATTTATAAGTAAATTTATAAGTAATTGTCCCAATCATATGAGATATATAAGTAGCATGTATTATCAAGAAAATCAACAATCTCAATTGAATATTAATTCTTATGCCAATTGCCCATGTTTAATTATTAAGATAAGTTATAGCTTATAATCATTCAATTAAACAATTACATTTTATCAGTGTTCTAAAAATCGGCCGAGGCGGCCGATTAATCGGTCTCCGAGGCGGAGGCGGTCCAAAACCTTTACGATTTCAGTGTAAAGGTTTGAAAAATCGGTTTTTTGCCTGTGAGGCGGTTTTAAGCGGTCTGAGTCGGTCCGAGGCGGTCTGAGGCGGTCAAACCTTTAAGGCGGGTCAAACTCGGTGGCAAAAATCGGTTGAAAATCGGTTTTTTTTTTTTTTTTTTTTTTTTTTATAATTCAAAATAAAAGTTGGATTTTAATAAAAGAAAATATGAGTTTATGCCTTATTTTGTTTATGTTAATTGTTATTGTTAAAGAACTAATGATGTATGCCACGAATGTTCAAAAATAAATGTAAATTCAAAAAAAATATTTTTTTATTTATATTTTATAAGGATATTTATGTATTATGATCTTATGATTATTAAACTTTTATTATGTTATTAGGATATATACATGATGGAGATATAACTATGTTTAAATATATTTTTATATATGTTTGGAGTATTTATAAATAATATTTAGAAATATATTATATTAAATTTTAAAAACCGATTTATTTCCGATTTATCACCGATTAATCACCGCCGCACCGATTAATCGTGAGTCGGTGCCTGACCGACTCGGACCCGATTACCGATTTTTACAACCTTGCATTTTATTAGTACATGGTCAATCCATAGGATGGTCCCAAAAAAAAAATATTTGGTTACTTTTAAGCCTCAAGGGTTTAAAACTTCAAATTGAACAATTTGTAAGGTGTAAAGTGTAAATATATTATTTTGCATAAGTGCCCCTTTTGAACATGTAGTTTTACTAATTAAGCCCCCTTCTCCTTCTTCTCCCCACATTCTTCTCCTGCGGAAGAGAGAGAAAGAGAGCGCGGAAAAATGGAAGAGACAAAAACCCTTCCCGAAAGCAGAAAGAGGCCTCTCGAAAACGACGTCGTCGCCATTCAGAATACTCCTTACTACAAAATACGCGCCGTTCTGAGAGACCTTCGGCCACATTTCATCGAGGTGCGTGATTTCTCTTGTAATTTTTTTATGAATGCGAATTGATTGATTTTATGTGGGTACTTTCGTTTGTGTTTCTCTGATTTTTTTATTCTAGTAGTCGGTTTCTTTTCGTGAATTATGTGATAGGATTTGAAATTGTGTTGTCTTCTCCAACGATTTTGAAGTACGAGAATTTCAAATTTTCTGGTTTTTAGGTCTGGAAAGAATTCCCAAAATAACCAGAAGTGTGTTAACATCGATCAAATTTGTATGAGTTTGAGTGTTTCTATGTGAGCATCGTGTTGGATTTGGGATATGAATTAATTAAAATTTATGGAATTTTATGTTGCTGTAGATATGAATGTGGTGGCCCTTTGTATCAGTAAACTTTGATCTAGGGTATGAAATTTTGGTAATTCAATTTCCTACTGCTGAAATTCGCTCGATTAATTTATCTATTGGGTTCAGCATCTGTCTCTTTAAATACTAACACGTTCACTCGCGTACTTTGGGATCGAAAGTTCTGATAATGATTATTAAAGTGATACAAAAAATTTGGCATCTGTGGTGATATTGAATTTTGCTGTAAAATAACACAGGCAAACATCGATCAATCGTTTTTGTTAGTGAAGCAAGTCTAGAAGATTTGGTTTATGATACTTTCTAATTATCTTAATAAAATTAAGGTATTTAACCCTAACATGTTCTTTTCTGATCTTTTTTAGGTGCTCAAGACCCCCGATTTTCGAAATTGCAAGGCAGCTGATGATATCCGTGAAGGTGAGGGTGTGGTTTATACTGTTTTAGCTATTCACACATAACTTATATTTCCTACTAGTGGTCGGACTTTCTTCCGTGTTTAAACTCGGGCAGACATATTTTTATGTTTCCATTCAATATCTGTATTACCTCTTACATAAAAAATCTAGGGTTTCGTGTATCCCGATAATATTATGTTGTTGGGAAAATCCAGCTTGGCCATTGCGAAGAGGCGAAAAGAATGAGATGGTTTTCGGAAGTGGAATTTGATTTACTAGACTTCTGAATTGGTCATTGGACCTTTACTAATCTACTTTCCCTTCTCTTCGTAGTTAGCTTTACTACTAATTTCAAGTTTTCCAACCCTTATTAGGAACCTTCATGTTCTGCATTCTGACCACATTATCTTCAATACTAATATAATTAAGCCCGAACTCGTATATCCTTATTTTTCCAAGATCATACGTCTCCATCATTTTCTAATCCTTCTTGTTACAGAACTACTTGAAAATATTCCGAAGAATCCATCAACTTTATTGAAATAGAACTGTTTAGAGTGAAGCAGCATTATGATTTAAGGTAGTTTTGATGTGGCATGTCTATATACTCCGATGAATGATTTAATCTGAAGAATGAAAGCTTAATTGGTTCTATTATCACTTCTTGAATATATATCAAATGGTTGTTTAGTTTGAAAACCATCAATTTTGTTTTTCTTTTTCATATATTGCTGTTTCTAATTAACTTCCTTTTCCAACTGAACCGCAGTCATTCATGAAAAATTCCATATGATTTATAATTTCCTTGATATATATTCATGAATTCAGAAAGACAAAATATAAGCCTTATAACGGTGTAAAATAAAACTCTGCAGGGATGAAGCTTGTGATGGAGCTGTACCGAGAGATGACAGCAGAAACCGGTAAGCTGGAGAAATGCAGTAACGGTAACATTGAAAATGGACAAAAGCGTGTGAAGCATCATGAACAACAAGATGTGAAACCCGAAGAGAATCTTCTCCGTGATGTTGATGAAGCTTCTGCTGAACCTTTGGGCGATCATGCCACCGACACATTTATTGTTGGGGGTTCTGCTTTTGGTTGGAACTTCGTCACTTCCCATGGCAGCAAAGCTGACTATTATGGTCAAACAAAAGAGGATTTTCGAGCCAAGAATGCCAAAGATGATTCAAATTAGGGGAATTTTACATCTTCACTCTCTCACTATTCTTGTTTCGCAGAGTTCATGCGACGAGATTGAAGTAGATGGTCGTGTATAATGGGTTCGGATTTTTCGGGAAGGATTCTTTCTCCTTCTTTCTTTCTTTTTTTCTCCGCTTTATGTGTATTTTAGTGAAAACAAAATGTGGGTGTGAACGAGCTTCTGAAAAACTGTTCAATTTCTCGTCTCAAGGTTAAAGGAGACTTACTAGATCAGTATATTTTTAGTTTGGACTGAAGTTGCACATTGTATTTCTAGATTTGGCATTAGTTCCAATTATACCCTATGATTAGCTGCAGTTGTAATTCTCCCTATGATTAATCACTTTTTTGGTGTAGATTAGGTAGAGTGCGAGAGAGTTGATTATTTGATCAGGTTGAGAGTAATCATACCCTATGAATAGTGAGTGTCGAGTACTTATATTTTCTTGATATGACAATAATTATCATCATAATAGTAAATTAATTGTGGTGGATTAACTTGCAACAGTGTCCTAGTTGGTGGATTATGAGAGCATTTCGGTTAATGATCTGGGTTTGGTTCTTCTTGTTAAATATTATTTACGTCGAGCTTGTCGCCCAATGCGATTTACATACCCTTTTCATTTGTAAACTTTGCTTTATTATTCATTGCACACATCGATTGTATGGTTTATTTAACTTTTGTTGCATTAAACAAACATCCAAGGGTCCATAGCTCAGTGGTAGAGCAATTGACTGCAGATCAATAGGTCACCGGTTCGAACCCGGTTGGGCCCTTTAATAATTTTTTTATAAATTTAAATTTTCAAATTTATATGTTTTTAATTTTATCAATTTAAATATAAGCTAAGTCAGGCCCAACTATGGCATTATACGGATTTGAATGGCCACGGTCAGGCCCAATAACGGAATATATGGATTTAAGGGTGGGCCATATAACGAAAAATGTGGATTTAACGGTAGGCCCAATAATGGAAAATGTGGATTTAACAGTGGGCCAATAACGGAAATATGGATTTAACGGTAGGCCAAATAACGGAAAATGTGGATTTAACGGTGGGCCAAATAACGGAATATATGGATTTCAATAAAGGCCCAGTAGGGCCATATGAGCCTGGCAGGCACGATAACGAAAAACCTAGAATTAATTGGGGTAGAAAATGAATTCAGGCAAATATTAATACACGAACTTGCAATCTCAAATTACATAGATGCTTGCTTCAATAAATCTTGATAAACAGGATAATAAATAATACACCTAACACGACAACTGAATATTTCAATCCTCGTTTAAAGGACTCGTAATAAACATATCAGCTAGGCAAGACTACAATTTTACAGTTTTACGTACTTCAATAACTCTTTCTCGAGCCTTTTTTTAAATTAACACGTAATGAAAGAGCAAAAAGTAAATCCAAATGGTCTAAAGCAGAAATATTAGAAGCGGCGAATATCTTTGGGTGGCTTGAAATGAACGGGATGAGATTCTGGGGTTGCCGTTTCATCTTCTTTCCACATCTTTATAGTCTTGTCCGCCTCACAAGTGATCAGCCTCGAACCAGTTAAATCATACGTGATAGCGTATATACCAGCTTCACTATCCAGCGAACCTGATATAATTAATTTACAAAATTAATTTAATGTCCAAAAGGTTGATGCTATAAGTAGCAACGGAAAGAAAAAAAAAAAAAAAAAAAAAAAAATTATGTTGCTTGATATATACATACCGGGCTGAACAATTGTTTGGGATTGCTGGAAATTGTGGCCGCTTTTCCAGTCCCAAAACCATAAACTTCCATTATCACCTATGATAAATTAAATGATATTCAAATTAAAACCATGTGAGATGTCCTCCAACACAAACACAAAGCTATAATATTGTTGGAAACAAGATAAAATTCTGTCGAGAAAATAACAGAAAAATATTTGGTGAAACTCACCTGCTGTGGCCATTACTCCCTCCTCGTTGACTGCAGCTGCATTAATTATAGTCTTCTGCTGAGAGCTGGAAAAAAGAAACATGAAATTAGCTATGTCGTCAGGTGTTCGGGTTGACATTATTCAGAGGACTGAAAATCAAATATCAGTACAGTAGGCTGAGTAGCTAATATCAAGCAAATAGAAAACGAAGTATTCTAAAGTATGTATTTGGCAAAGAAGACCGTCTATTGAAGAGAAAATATTCTTTACAGGTAACAATGAAATTATATAGTCCACGGAGTGCATCTCTGCAGCTCATTAATATATAGCATCCACTAAACTGCTGCAGTTTAATGTCACAAGATGACCTTAATTTATTATCATCGACCAAATTCCAGGTTTATTCAATTTACTTAAGTCGGAGACAAAGGTAATCGCGGTACAACACATAGAGTTGAGACAAAACTACATAATAAAAAAATACAAGGATTTTATTTTCTTCTCAACTTGGGACGAACACAAATTCAGTTCAAAGGTTTTCATAAATTTCCTATTAACTCCCCCAGCAATTATTCTTTCAAACCAATTAACTTTTTCTATACCCATTTATACTACCATTTCCACCATTCATCCAATTTCCATAAACCAAACATATTCTAAGAGGAAAAATGGCTAAAAACATAGAGAGCAAGCAAGGACGATGACGTAATGTATACTGTATTCGAGTAGACATTAAACATAAATAGCACTCTTAGATAATAGTTTATTTGTGAAAAGGTATAAAGATCTGAAACTAAGTAATCAAGTTATTCCTTTATTCTTATTCTTTCCATTATTAATATCGTCATTATAGTTTTAGGGGAAGAGGAACTATTTTAAGACAGGTTGCTTTGACCCCACCAAGGCAAACCAATTAGGCAATGATAAAGTTCTGTTCTAATAATCTCAGTCCGTAAATGCTAAATATTAAATGTCATCATATACACCAATGTAAGAAGAAAAATGAGTGCTACATTTATGCGGATCAAAATTAGAAGAGTTGCAAGCCTAATCAACTTTTTCAGGGAACAAAAAAGAAACATGGAGGAAGTTGTATGGCTATTCATTAACACTTACAGCATGTTGTGCATAAATTCTCCTCTAGGAAGTTTAAACTTCTTAATATTCTCAGCTGATGCAGACACAAAAGCGTCTCTGCAAAATTGGAAATATGAAATTAGGCAAATACTGAAAATTGAGATCATGTAAAATTCAAACCAAATTAAGATGTACAACACATAATGAAAATGCTTACTCCTTAGGATGCTGAGCCATAGCTCGCACAGATTTTTTATGGTGTGTGAGAGTTGCCATTGCTTTACCTGCCAGGCACAAACACTTGCACATCAATAAAGAGAGATCAAGATATAATGAAGAACCACAAGATAATTTGTTAAAACTATTACCATATCTGAGGTCCCAGAACTTTATAGTTGAATCATGAGAACCTGTTATGATTTGTGGATCCTGCAGGTTCAAGTCATGCCATGAGGTCAGACTAAAAGAGCAAAACAGAAAATAACCAAATCCCTAAATTTCATTCATAAATTTGAGGCAGATAGGTACGCATAAAGAGATATATTAAATACTAAAAGTACTTGGGAGCCACAAGGTGAGCACTAACCGTAGGTCGTGTGAAGACTGAACAAACGGTATTATCATGTCCAGTAAGTGCAAAAATTTGCATCTTGCTACGAATATCCCAGACCTAAAATCATATTATAACCTAAATTAGTACAAATCTCTATTCTCTACTGGTACTTTATAGATTTCTCAGATATTGAAAATACGTATTTTATCAGATATAATATAAACAATAATTCGTACCCGACACACGGAATCCCGACCTCCAGTACACAAAATGTCAATAGTAGGATGAAGTGCCAGGCAATACACACCACTAAGATGGCCATGATAAGAGCGAATGGCCTGAAAACAGAAAGGGTGTATTTATTAAACGCCAAATATACTTCAGCTGAAAGCCTGAAACAACTGTTGAAAATGGCTACCAACCTTATTCTGCTCTAGGTCCCAACATTTAACTAATTTGTCATCCCCAGCAGAAAACATGTATGTGTGCTTCTTACTAACAGCCAGACCTGCAAGGAAATTAATGATTTCTTAATATATAATCCTGTGAATTTTCAGCAAATAAGTGTTATCCACAAATAAGAAATGAACTACCTCGTACTTGGTCAATGTGACCGGTAAGTGTGAGTTTCAGCCTGCCACTTGCTAAGTCCCATATCTGGCCACCATATAAAGAAGAAAATTGAATAAGAAAAAGAACACAACTGAAGGAAACTAAGCGCCTGACTGATAAGAAAAATATATGCTACAGGGAACAACATAGTTTAGTGATATTTACAACATTAAAAGGGAATATATAAGCTTAATATTAAATGATTCATCACAAAGATCAGTAGCTGTAAAAGATATCTACTCATTACATAATCTCAGTGCTGGAACTGAAGGCATTGATCATTTTTAACAAATCGAGATTAATCACTATTTACTCAACTAGTTATAAAATAGTTCTCCTGTTAAATTCCATATCCATAGCTACTTTTAATGTGAATGCTTTTCATAAGAACATTAGCTGATACAGTGAGAAAATTCTAGATAAATCCATATACAACTAACTCATCCAACTCGACGGAAACAGATGAAGCGTTTCTAGACCCACAACTTCCGAAAATAATTGCTTGTACCAGATACACCAAAAAATTAACTTGCAAATCAGATAGAGTTACACCACATTCACTTGCTAATCCAGTCTTTCCAAATAATTCACTTTCTTTTTTTTTGGGGGGGGGGGGGGGGGTGTTGGGGGTTGCTTCAGAGAAAAGAATGTTTAAGTTTCTAACCTTGATTGTTCGATCAGCAGATCCCGTGCAAAACCAATTATTACTGGGGTCAAGAGCAACTGACCGCACCCATCCCAAATGGCCACTAATGACCTACATAGATCAACTTGCAAGGTAAGAATCAATAAAAAGGGTTGAAAAGACAATACCACATACATCAGTAGGACCAAACGAAGAAAATCAGTAGCATTCATGTAAAGATAACAAACATCACATGTAAGTGGTAGTGTGAAACTTTTCTATCAAAACAAGCATAGGTGCCAATAAGGTACAAGTAAAATCTTTCTTACATGCTATATGACCAATTGGGTGAGATTGATGTAATTTCTTTCAACAGATTACAAATATAACAAGTTTCCATGGAATGACACCAAAGATCCCAAAATCTGATGATGTGCATGAAAACACAAGATATCGTATGAAGTAATGTAGTCAATAGCATATATGTTTATTTTCAATAATGTCATATGCTATAAAGAGATTTTAGGAGTTCGAAACTGTCCTGCATACATTATGCATGAGACAAACACCTCTCCTAAATGGTTAGGCTGACTCCAGCAAATTCAGAATGCATACAGTCTATAATAACTTTTTTATACTTTTGAATAGGTATTCTGAACAAGTTAAGAAGATCCATTAGGTCGTGAAACCTATGTAAGGATTCTAAAGTTTTTTTCAAGCTATACTTTTAGATAATATTTTTAACATACAAATTTACAGGTGCTAACAAAGATTTGAGATACTTCTGCTAATCTTATATACGGAATTCATAGATGCATCTTTACGGTAATCCATATCACAAATATATGGTGGTATAAACTCCAGTATAGGCGATGGCATGTTGTAGAGAAACCTTGACATTGTGATTCACATCCCATAGAGTCTATTAGAAGGACAGTGAAGGCCAGACTGAACTCGAAAACTGAGGTTAAGCAGTATTCCTAAGGGCCTAAACAAGCAGACGCATCAAAGATCATTTATACTTATACATTTATCATTTCTTTAGGTTCAGGAAAACTTCCTGAACAAGTTAAGAAAAGTTTCTTACCCTGTAATTCTTCCATGGGGCATGCCATATAGGACGAGGCCATCTACTTGGAATTCTTTCCATGATGGCAGAAGTTGAAAGATTCCTGAGCATCACAAAAGAACAATAATCAGAATGCTGCTAATGTATATCATCATCCATGATATAAATAATCATGTAATGAAAGGAAAATGACAGAAAGCAACAAAAAGAAAGTGGAATCATGTGTAATTTTCAAAATTATCAAATAAAACATGTTTCCAACCGCCGATGTGCTATAATACATTTTAATTTAGTTCAACAAAGACTGATGAAAGAATCAAAACTAGAAGAGAATATCATATTCACTTGTCATTCAGAAGCTTGAGATTTTTTAAATGTAATACTATTTCCAAGAATAACTGTTAGCTAGCCCGCATGGCAAGTAAGTGTTTCAATAGATATTATAATATACAGTTCCAGAAAGAAACACTAGTGTCAAGAACAGAAGACCTTTCAGGTAAACCAGATGCAGGTATAATAGTTGTGCTCCTGCCTTGAACACCAACATTGCTACTGCCGCTAGGTTGCCCTGTTGTACTAATCTGTGACCCTCCCTTTTGCATATCATTTGATCGTTCAGGGCCTGCACGAAGAATAAACTCCAACTATCAACTGACACAAAAATTCAGATCGGCAATCTTGATATGCACTCATTTAAATGTAACATATTATGTACAGATAAAAGTTCATATGAGCCTCACATCAAGTTTATCTCTCCCAAATAAACATCTACTAATGTTAACTGGCTTTGTTAAGTTTCCATCCAAGATTTTTTTGATTTACTTAATATGAATGACCACAAAATCTTTGCATACAGCAAACTCACATCTCTAAAGGTTCGAACTTGGCCAGAGTTGAAATACCTGGAAGTGCAAGGACATTGTTGGGGGTAGATGTTAGTTGCGATCGATTTTTTGCAGATCCTGTTTGAGTAGAAGGTTCCGTAGACACGTTTTTCACTCCTCCATACTCGTTATTAAGCTAAAACATCAACCAAAAACACACATAATTCAAAAGGAAATACTCTAAATTCAAGGCATGCATAATTACACGCCACAATAATAATCCAATAAAAATAATAATTAACATACTTCTCCACGGCTAGGCATTATTTAGCACCAACCTTATAATTTACTCGAATCTTCTTGCTGCAAACCAGACAAAATCCAAATAAATTAATAAAAATTGATATCTAAATACAATGTATATAATCACTAAATCGTATAATGAACTCAATAGGAATTATCCAAATACACTATAACTCAACAAATTATGGTAATTAGAATAATTAAAATTGAGGGTTTCCCAAACCTTTCCGGGTCGGGTGGTGGAAATTGACCGTGTGTAGGAGAGAACAGATCCAGGGCTCGCTTCACTGATTTGAAGCTGAGCTTCTTCAGCGACTGTGGCTCTACAGGTATCTCGGAATCCATCGTCGCCCCCGGCATCCGTATGCGACCGTCTGTGTGTTTTGATAATGTGAAAGCCTCACGAACTCAGAGATTAATCTATATACTGGCAGACAGGGTTCACGGCGGAGGACGGCGGAGGAACGGCGGAGGACGGTGAGGGTTGCGACGAAGCTTTTCGGTACTGCAGCCGATTTGGGGTTGGGGTTGGGGTTTGGGATGAATTTATTTTATTTAACTATTTTTTTTTCATATATATTTATGCCGCTATTATTTTTGCGTCTTTCCTTTTTTCATAAACAGTACATCGCCCCTTGTAGTTTTATCTATTTTTACTTGACTCCTTATAGAATTATAGTATGAAAATAAGCACATAGTAAATATCTAGTGTGCCCCTTTAATATTCATTTATTTGCAATTTTTGCCATTTAGATGAAGTGTTGATATTTAGAATATATTTTTATTTTTATTTTCTGAGATAAATTATTTAGAATATTTGACCATCTTTGTTCATTGCAAATTGTTCTTGGGAGAGGTGGAGAAAAACATAAATACCACTTTAATAGATATCAATCGAAAATTACTACTATAGTACCAAAATTACGACTGATACACGATAACGGTCATAAACTTCGATATTCCTACAAAATCCACATTTAGTTAAAATATTCTTTTATGTAAAAATTCATTTTGGTTATTTTTGGTATTTCCCCCAAAATTAAAGGATGCATAATCAGTAATTTTAGATATTTGTGGTGACAAATACAAATACTATAAATATTGGGCCCTCCATGGCAAAAAGATTTCTGTCACCGCCTAAATTAGAGCTCCGCTAGGGTTTTATAGTGTTGGTCGCGTTTCAGGCATCAATTGAGCAAGAAAAACCTAGACATGTCGAAGAAGAACGATTTAGGTCGCCGGAAAAGGCTACACGATTATGATTTAAGAAGTATGGTAACTTCAATTTTTTCTTCTCAGTTTATATACATTTAATTTTGAATTTGCGCCGAATATTCGCCTCTAATTTGATGCGAAAAACAGGAGAAAAGGAAGCAAATGAAAAGAAGGAAAAGAAGCTCCAGGCGAAGAAGAACAAGATGAAAGTAATTCATTCTCAATTCAATTTTTTTATTTTTTTTGCTCGAATTAATTGTATTATTTTCGAGTAGCGATGTTGTTTCGTTTCGATTGCGTTTTGGGGTATAATAAGGTTTAGCTTAAGTTCTGTATTAGTGCTTCTGCTAATCATGGTTGTTATAACTGGATTATCGTTCTTTTTTTTATATATGATATGTGGTGAAAATACTTTAATTTATATATATGTAATGATCAGGTTGATGGAAGCAGCAGTAAGAAGAAGAAGGGTGGTAGTGGATTTCAAGTAGGAAAAAAGAAGTTGAAAACGAAGATGACGGCGCTAGCAAAAGCTAAAGCTGCCCAGGCAATGGAGCTCGACAAATGAGGTTACTTTTTGACAAAAACGTAACCGAGAATCGAAAATATGTTCATTGTCACTTTTTTGTTGTCAGTGTAGCTTATTCGCCCCCGACATTGACATTTATGATTTACCGTTTTTAAATCTGCTTAAACATATGTACTTGTCGTTGATTTTTAACTCAATTAAAGTTCAGTTTTGGCCGTGTTGGGCAAAATTTGAAGCGGTGATCGTTGGTTTCCGTAAAGTAGAGCCTGAATATGATTAAATTTGTATATACAGGCACAAGGGTATAGCGGTTATTTCATCAAGGTCGAGATATCTCCCAAGCTTGAGTTTGTTCTTTCTTTTAGTGTTGCCTGTATTTGTCGTGTTGCCATCTTCTTGTAAGCAAAATATAAGTTCATCACCTAAATTCGAGACCTCAAAAACCAAATGGTGTAAGGTCTACATTAGTTATTAGGTAATGTTGTTCTGTCTTAACCATAACGTGTGCAAAGCAGAATTTGTTCCGTTATCTTTCTCCCAGATAAACAATTTCGTAATTCTTGTTCATATCCCGTGAATGCTGTCCCAGTCATTTTTCGTTTGGATAAAAAGTATTTGGTTGCTGTTTTTTTCCCATCGATTTCATTTTCCTATGTTTATGCTCTGAAACATTCCGTTAGCCATTGAGATCAACTTATTTGGTGCATATTGTGAGATTTCCTTGTTGTTTTGGTTCAATTATCGAGCATTTACAGTAGCCGTAGTTTCATCTTTCCCTTTGCAAAGTTAGGGAGTTTGTGCTTTTAAATTGCTGACTTAGTATTATTACTGTTGAAATCCTTGCATATCTGGGGTCGTTTATCGATTATTACTGGGAAATTGTGTATCTTATCAAGATTGTTTGTTGCATTTGATTTGCCCGAAGCTGAATTCGTCGGGTGAAACATTCGACTCAATAGTTACTTGCGCGATAGATAGTATAACTCTTGTATGTATTTATACGTATATAAACGGTGTCTCGAATTAGTCAGACGAAGCTTAATAGAGAAAGAAAATGGTGGGATATGCACTTGGTACATATAACAGAGGATGAGTATTCAGTTGCACACATGGATACTTCTAATTTTTTCTTTTTTTGGTTTTTTTATATATTTTTATTTTAATTTAATTTTGTGGGGGCGTGTGGTCACGGAAGTTATCATATCCGGTTCAGTGGGGCCCCGAACCCGGATCCCCAATGAGGTCACCTCGTCTATGCCAGCTGTCATCTTTCCTTTGGCCAATATCTCTAATGGCCGCGTACAAAAGCTATTATGACGTCATGGCTTTTCATGATTCTTCTTCCTTTTTCTTTATGTTTAATTTATTTATTTATTTTTAATATAATTTCATTATGTGGGAAATTAGAGAAAACTCAAATATGAATAATGATGTTATTAAGCCAACTAAAATATTAAGAAGTACTTTCATCCAACTTTTTTTATCTAAAATCTTATAATTAGTAAAAATGGTTTATCAACTCATTATCAGCGTATTTATTACCTCTTAAAACAGTTTATCAGATGTAAGAGTGAGCTTATCCGTTGTTTAAAATAAGCTTAGTCAAACGGACCCTTCTTAATTTAAAATACACGAGGGACTTAAATCGAAACTTAGAAAAAAATCCAATCGAAACGAAAAAATATAGCCTTTGTCCCAACCTCTAATTAGCCATCTAACGAGGGGCTATTATCTAATTATCACTAAATTAAAACAATAAAAACTAATTACAACTATATGTGCGTAATGGATTTCATAGGATCATCCACAAATAGAGGAGGACTTTAATTTTCACATCATCGACAGATAATAAAACCCTTAGCTTCCACCACCGCATGAGCAAAGTGTTTTCCCAATCCTTTAGTTTGTTGCTATTTGCTAACTCTGGACAAGAAATAAATATCTGTGCAAGAAAAGAAGCACTATACATTTTCAGATAAGAAAGCTTTTCAAAGTTATGGTGAGTGACTCGATATCTTATTCTCTTCTTTAACTTCTGCTATTTGCCAGACCCCTTTTTGCTATTTGTCAACCCCTTTTCATTTTTTCACAGAGTAGGGCTAGTTTGCATTCATAAAGATTCGAGCTTTCTTGTTTTCTTGATACCTCTGTGCATGGTTGCCTTTTTTATTGGGTAATGACGTTCTGTTTATAAGAACTGAGATGGGTTTTTTTTTTTTTTTTTTTTTTTTTTTTGAAGGGCTCAGATAATTCAGTGTTTTTATAGGATTGGGGTGTGATTAGGAGTGGATTAATAAAACGTGTACTTACTTAGTATAGTGTGTGTTTGTGTGTGTGTGTGTTTTTTTTGTGTGTGTGGTTTTGTATCTTCATCATCAAGCCCTTTTCTTACTGTCTCTTTCTTGATTAGGTGAAGTTGTAAATTCTCTTGAATTCTAGCTTTCTTTTTGCTGTAATTCAAATCTGTTTCTTGTCGTCGTTCTTCATTTATAACTTGAAATTCTATTGATTTTTTTGCTTAAAATTTGTGGGTTTTATGATTGAAATCTTTCACCCTTGCTTTGTAGAATCTTCGATTTTCATGAACTAGATTTTTAGCTTCTTTCTGTGTATTATTTTTTTTTCCGATTTTATAGATGCTATAACTAAATGAGTTGTGGGGGACTTTCTCAATTTTCTATCCTACTATCCAGATATTCTCTCTAGCTAGTGTAATTCCATAAAAAAAAAAAAAAAACCAAATCATCTATTAATCGAGCTCTGTAAATTTTGGAGTCCTTATAAGCACCGAAAAACCTTTTGCAAAGATCTAAACTAGATTCGATTTAAATTAATTACGTTTTCATTAATTTTTGCAGTGACCCCAAATCTAGGGGTGTGAAAAGTAAATGCATGGATCAAAGGGAGGCTATGTCATTAACAGGCTCGGCTTCGTATTACATGCATCCGGGCACAGCCGAGTCTGTCACAGGACTGCAAAGTTCACCGAACATGAGCCCTTTATCGAACGCCGCCTTACACTTTCAATCCAACATTGGTGGCAGCTTAAACGTACATTTGGATTCTTCGTCTGCAATGTCTGCTCATGGAGTTGGCGGGGGCTCACCTGCTATGCAGCAAGGTGAACCTGTTCTTCGTAGAAAGAGGGGTAGGCCTCGTAAATACGGACACGATGGTGGGGTTTCGTTGTCATTAACGCCCTCTGTGTCTAATCCTGCATCGATATTAAGACAGCCTCAAAAATGGAAAGGAAGGCCTTCGGGTAGTGGTCGTAAGCCACTAATGTCTTCTCCAGGTCTCTCTCTCTCTCTCTCTCTCTCTCTCTCTCTCTCTCTCTCTCTCTCTCTCTCTCTCTCTCTCTCTCTCTCATGTAAAATATTGTTGGAAATTGGATTGCAAATTATGTGAAACTGATTTTTTGAAGAACTAATTAAAATTGTCAGGTGGATCGGTTTTTAGCGGAGCTGGGACAATGACTCCACATGTCATCAACATTGCAGCTGGAGAAGTATGTACAAATCTCTTACAAATCGATATAATTACACTAAATTCAACCTGTTTTGTGCTTCTTGTCTTTAAGTTTGGTGAAATTTTTCGAATTCAGTATGTTTCAGCATTTTTTCGGGCTTGAAATCGGTAATGATTTGCTACCAAATGTGAAACAGGACATTCTAAAAAAAATTAGAAAAAAAGAAAAAAATGTGCTTTGAGTTTGATTCGATTATGAAATCGGTTGACTTTGAACGAGACATAATCGACTAGAATATGGATGGATATTGAACTCGAGTTGAGCGTTGAGTAGCTTTTGGTTGGCTTTTAATTTAATTGGAATATTTTAATGGTCTTTTGTAATAATATTTTTCGTGCAGGACATCAAGAGAAAGATACTGTCGCTTTTACATGGAAGACGAGGCATAGTTGTTTTGTCGGGCATTGGTTCTATTTCAGCTGCAAACATTAAAATCTCAAGCTCGAATGGCTCTGTCACGTACGAGGTGTAACCTCGGAAATATTCTTCTTATTATTATTACACCTCTTATTGATACAAATTATACATCAATGACTTCAAATATAACAAATGATAATTTCTTATTTTAATTTTTTTGAATTTTATTTTAGGGTCATTTTGATATGGTAAATTTATCGGGTTCCTATATGAACGAGGTTGATGGGCATAATGGTCCAACTGGTGCATTAACTGTTACTTTTGCGGGGCCCGATGGTCGTCTAATAGGGGGCCCAGTCGATGGAGTTCTCATCGCTGCCAGCCCTGTTCAGGTACTGCTTATATGCTTAAAAAAAAATCGGATTTCAATTTTAATCAATGTGTATATTATGATTAATATTTGTGTTTTAATAATCGAGAAACGTATATATATTCATTATATATAAAGCTCCGTTTTAACGATGAATTGGTTCAGGTAATTGCTGGAAGCATGATGGCATTCGCTTCAAAGTCGAAAAACAAGGCGTTGAACGATCCGGAAGCTTCGGGAAACCCTGACAGAAGTACACTTGGAAACTCGGTAGCTCAAGCTAACATTATTCAGCCTAGTCAGCAGAATCTCAACCCGATGGGCATGTGGTCGAGTTCGAGATAAGAGAATGTGTACATTTTAACCGATGCTTGAGTTATACTATAAATTCCAGGTATATAGGTTAGCTGGATGAAACTACATTGAAATTATTTGTTCCATAATTGCTAAAGGAGAAAGAGCACTTTTGGCTCACTGCATACATTTGCATTTTCTTTTACCTTACTTAGGTTGTCAAAAACAAATGTACATCTCTTAATTGACAAAAACAATTTCAGTTCTGCACTATATGTGAATGACAGCAGAAATCAAGAATGTCTGTTTCGGTATATCCCAATATTTACACGTCCATCCTTGCGGTGTCAAATTTAGTGGAATCTTCTAGATTATGTGGAATATTCTCCAATTTTGTACCTGTTTTACCCCCTTGGAGTACCGTGTTTTTTAAACAAGATGATCATAAGATGTGTCTCTTGGCTAGTAAATATCAGATCGTGGTGCATCAGAAATTGCATTTCTGCACAAAACGACTACGAAGTAGAGAACATTCCACGGAATCTAGAATATTATGTTGAATCTGACACCGTAAGAGTAGGCGTATAAGAAGATTCATAGTTGAGGGGTGGTTGTAATAACTCAAATATGAGGGGTTTTTTCATAATTTTTTTTCGTAATAAAACCGAAAAAAAAAAGATAATGGTAAATAGTTATATGAAATAGATTTCCTTTATTTCATATCATACATAGTTACATACATATCAAACACTTCAATTTATTTTTCTGAAACGAAAGCACACTCGACTCGATCAAGGCAATCGAAGTTGCCACCAGATTCTTATTCCTGAAAAAAGAAAAAAAAAGCACCTTAATGAAGACCATGTTTCTTGAATAAAATCAAGCATTATCATCAGACCAAGTGATATCCATTTCACCCCATTGACTTTTAGGCACACCCAGAGCTTTCCAGACAGCTCTAGAAGCATCCACAATGTTGTTATTACACGGCGGCTGATAATCGTGATCCAGATCACACCCCATAGTCGAATCACACTCGTCCACCACCATCGCGCTCACACTATTCCCATTTCCGTAAATAGTAACATTCCTGAAGCACCTCTTCATATTGTTGAACCACCCTGTAGACAGTGCCACGATCGGAATATCGTCAGAGTGGTACTTGCTGTCGCACTCGGACGGGCCCCCACCGTCTTTGCCTTTCTCGAAGCTGTTCAATGTTAGGACGGCCTTAGTGTGGGCCCCGACGGTGGGGGAGCATTTGTAGGTGGTGTAGTATTTGCCTTGTTCGCAACATTCCGAGTCGTTGTTTTTGTTGCATTGGTCTTTGGGTGGTTTCTTGCCCTTGATCTTGCCGCTCGGCTGGCAGGATTGTGCTTCGGTTTTCGCGATGACGAAAATGGAGAAGAGGAGAAATAGAAAGAATGAGATTGCTTTTCGATTCGACATTTTTTTTATTCTTCTTCTTCTTGATTTTTTGAAGTTTGATGGCTTGTGTGGAGTAAACTTGCATCAGGTTATAAACATATTTATAGTGTTGGGTATACATACAGTTAAAAAAAAGAATATACATTTTGTCAACTTGTTAGAAATGGGATATGCAGCAGTTTTGTGATGCATGCATAGTAAATTTTCTTTATTGATTTAACTTGGTGCATTGTTAATTCACATAGACAAGGAATCCTTGTGAATTTCAAATCATTTTTTTTTTAAATTTCGATTTGTTTATTTTTTGTTTCGGAGATTATTGCATGTCCTTGCTATCATCAGACGGCAGATAAAGAATATATGTCGAACGAATTGAGTACCGATTCAAATATCGGTTTGTTCTTATTTAATGTTTCTTACTGTCTAATTCAGCATTAATAAGAAACTAACATTTTAAAAACTTTTATATATAATATGCAAGGATTTAACATAGTATATGTTTCACATGATAAACATAGGTTACATATTTTTACACCATTAATCAAAAACATAAACCGATACAACAACTAAGCATCGGACCAAGTAATATCCAAGTCTCCCCAGTTATTTTCCGGTACGCCCAAAGCTTTCCAGACAGCCTTCGAAGCATCAACAATGTTGTTAGGACAAGGTGGTTGATAATCGTGGTCTTCGTCGCACCCCATTGTCGAATCACACTCGTCGACCACCATAGCAGTCACGGTTCTGCCATTAGCACTTATGACAACGTTGTTAAGGCATCTTGATCCTCCGCTGTACCAGCCAGTCGATAGTGCGACAACTGGCGTTTCGTCAGAGTGGTACTTACCGTCACACTCGGAGGGGCCGCCCCCATCGCCTCCCTTCTGGAAGCTGTTGAGCGTCAGAACTGCTTTTGTGGTACCGGAAACGGGAGGCGAACATGTGTAAGTGGTGTAGTAATCCCCTGCTTTGCAGCAGTCGGAGTCGTTTTCTTGGTTGCATTGCCCCGGAGGGGGGTTTTCGCCCCTTATTTTGCCGCTGGGGTTGCAAGATTGAAGTCTGGCTTGTGAGGAATAAGCAGCAAAAGTGAACATAACAAGTAGAAATGCTTCGACTGTGAAGGTCTTCATATTGTATATCGAATGTTGCTTTTTTCGGATTAGTTATGTTTGGATGGAAAAATACGATGCAAGAGTATGCGTATATAAGCTTTTTACACAGTGAAAAATGCCGAAAAAGTACTCAAACTTATTGCTACCTTACTTGCCGTGTTGGTTAAGCTACTCCACACTCTACAAAAGGCCAAATCTAAGTTCTTTTGCATGGCATTTGCATGGAACTCGGGCCTCGAATCTTTTCGTAATAATTCGAACTAGTCGATCGATAGCTACAGCGATTCACTTCGATTAAGTTGAAACAAATTTACTATTAAACAATGCTTTTTTTGTTCTATTGTTGCCGGTTAAAGATACTTACGAAAGATGCAAAAGACGAAACATCTCCATCATCATCATCTTAAACTCTTAAACCATCTTACTGGTATTTACTTCTTTAATTGAACATCTAATAAAAAAAATTAAAAAAACAGCTGTATAATTACATTCGGCCGACGTGCATGCTGGAGATGCTTTCGTCGTATCTTCCGAAAATTATTTATTGGCTAAAAAATCACTACTCGAAAAACCCCGTTTTGGCGATCAAAATAATGGTGTAACTTGTTTTGTTGTTTCGACCTTTTCTTGAAATAAACTATATTTAAACCAATTATCAAGAAAGCTTAATTCACTATCTGATGGATATAATTAAACTGATCTTCGCATCATCTCTTCTCGTATTAATCTTTTCTCCGTATTTATTAGAAGCTAATGAACGTCAAAATTGCAAGCCAAGCGGTCGAGTAAAGGGCAAGAAACCGCCTCCCGACCAGTGTAACGAAGACGACGACTCTTTCTGCTGCACAGAAGGGAAAGACGACACTACAAACTGTTCGCCCCTCGAGTTTCTAAATCCACAAAGGCAGTTCTAAATCTAAACGGTTTCGATACAGGCGGAGACGGAAATCTACCGTCGAAATGCGATAAAAAGTACCATTCGGACGATACGCCCTTTGTAGCTCTATCGACTGGATGGTACAATGGTGGAAAGCGGTGCTTAAATAATATCACGATAAGTGGTAATAACGGGAGGCGCGTGGTAGCTATGGTGATCGACGAGTGCGATTCTTCTGTGGGGTGCGATGAGGCCCACGATTATATGCCCCCGTGCGATAACAACGTTGTCGGTGCCTCGAGGGCTGTGTGGAAAGGTTTGGGGGTGCCTGTAAGTGATTGGGGTGAACTCGATATTACGTGGTCGGATGCCTAGTGAAAACGACATGTGATGCTTCCAATAATATTTGGTTTTTTTTCTTTTTTTGTTGAATTTCTGCGTTACGTATTCTGTTCGTAGTGTTATTTACGACCGTGTTATATATAAATAAAGACAAGAACTTCTTAAACTTGAGCCATCATTAGTGCAAAAGGGCAATAATACTACATAAAGAGTTTATCATCATTCATCATATACAGAGTTGATCAAAATCTGAACGGGGTCGAAAGCGTTTAATTTTTTTGCATCTTACGTATTTTCAAATGGGATTTATCGGCTAAGAAATAATATTTCTCGTTTCAAATGTACACGAAGTAAAACGCTGTCGTTACAAACCGGTTGGAATTTTATCAATCACTAGATCACTCCAAGAGAAGAACTGTGTTTAAGAGTTAAAGATGATGATGATGGAGATGTTTTGTCTTTTGCATCTTACAGAATCTATTACAAGTTTAAACGGCTGTCGTAAGTATCTTTAACCGGCAACAATAAAACGAAAAAAAAGCATTGTTTAATAGTAAATTTGTTTCAACTTAAACGAAAGCTAAGCGCTGTAGCTATCGACTAGTTCGAATTATTACGAAAAAAATTCGAGGCCCGAGTTCCATGCAAATGCCATGCAAAAGAACTTAGATTTGGCCTTTGTAGAGTGTGGAGTAGCTTAACCAACACGGCAAGTAAGGTAGCAATAAGTTTGAGTACTTTTTCGGCATTTTTCACTCTGTAAAAAGCTTATATACGCATATTCTTGCATCGTATTTTTCCATCCAAACATAACTAATCCGAAAAAAGCAACATTCGATATACAATATGAAGACCTTCACAGTCGAAGCGTTTCTACTTCTTCTGTTCACTTTTGCTGCTTATTCTTCACAAGCCAGACTCCAATCTTGCAACCCCAGCGGCAAAATAAGGGGCGAAAACCCCCCACCGGGGCAATGCAACCAAGAAAACGACTCCGACTGCTGCAAAGCAGGGGATTACTACACCACTTACACATGTTCGCCTCCCGTTTCTGGAAGCACGAAAGCAGTTCTGACGCTCAACAGCTTCCAGAAGGGGGGCGATGGGGGCGGCCCCTCCGAGTGTGACGGTAAGTACCACTCCGACGAAACGCCAGTTGTCGCTCTATCGACCGGCTGGTACAGTGGAGGGTCGAGGTGCCTAAACAACGTCGTCATAAGTGCTAACGGCAGGACCGTGACAGCTACGGTGGTCGACGAGTGTGATTCTACAATGGGGTGCGACGAAGACCATGATTATCAGCCGCCTTGTCCGAACAACATTGTCGATGCTTCGAAGGCTGTCTGGAAGGCCTTGGGGGTGCCTGAAGATAACTGGGGAGACTTGGATATTACTTGGTCTGATGCATAATGCACTTAATTCTCTTATGTTTCTTTGTTTTCTAATGTGTTATGTATTGTAATTAAATTGTGTAAATGTATTTGAATTATGTATATTAATGATGTAATTAATCTCCTTGTTCATATATATATATATATATATATATATATATATATATATATATATATATATACTAGTATTTTTTTATATAGATCTCTTTACTGCAAGAATGATGCTAGTATGCTACTGTGGGACTGTATATTTACTGCTTAAAACTTAGATAATATATATATATATATATATATATATATATATACTAGATTAGAGCACCGCGCAATGCGCGGTGCCTGTGACCTGTTTACATATTTTTGTAAAATGTGTTTTTTTATGCAAGCGTGAGTTTGAAGGGGATAACGAGATGCTACGTCGAAGTTTCTCCCATTTCCTGATCAATATTAGAAGACTGGATATATTGTAAAATGTGTTTTTTTATGCAAGCGTGAGTTTGAAGGGGATAACGAGATGCTACGTCGAAGTTTCTCCCATTTCCTGATCAATATTTGAAGACTGGATATAAGGATCACATTAAAACAAAGCATTGTATATTGTGAGACGGGCTATGAAATAAGAGATAAGATCGATATGTAAAAAGGTAAAAGACCAAAAATTAAATTTATTAATGATATAGAATAGAGGTGATGTTATACAAGTTAGTATTCTATGATATGTAAATGATAGAATGTCCGTACATGATCATTGCGGGACTCATTGTTGCAATGGATGATTGATTTATCCCAAGTTTATTATATATAATTTAATAAGTTAAAGTTTTCTTAAATCGTAAATCGTAAAATTTGATCGATTTGTTGATATTTAAGATTTATTTGAACATTTGAATCGACGTAGGTATGAATAAATTGGATCGTAAGATTTGAATCGTAAGTCATAAGATTTTTAGCTCGGTGTTGCGAATTTTCGTAAATGAGTCGCACGCGATTACAGCCGAGGAGGAGTCGAAGCATGTTGCGTTGATGGGGAATATTTCGGATATTGCAAGGGAGATCCACTTTGGGGTTAAATTTGCAATTTGGGTGGAGCAGGTGGGAAGATGGAGTAAGTATAGGGGTGATTTTGCAAATTTCAGAACTGTTTCAGTCAAGGAGGTGGGTTTCGAGAAATTAAAAATTAACCCCCACTTGGGGGGCATTAACGGTTCAGGGACAAAAATAAAAAATGTTATATAATACATGGGCCAAAACTGTAAATATCCAAAGTTTATTATAACTAATATAGTAAATTAAAGTTTTCTTAAATCGTAAATCATAAAATTTGATAGATTTGTTGGTATTGAAGATTTATTTTAACATTTGAATCGACCTAGGTATGAATGAAATAAATCATACAATTTGAATCTTAAATCATAAGATTTTAGGCTCGGTATTGCATTTTTTTTTAAATGAGTCACACATGGTTATAGCCGAGGAGTCGAAGCATGCCGCGTTGGTGGCGGATATTTCGGATATTGCAAGAGAGATCCACTTTGGGGTCAAATTTGCAATTTGGGTAGAGCAGCCGGGAAGATGGAGTAAGTATAGGGGTGATTCTGCAGTTTTCAGAACTTTTTCGGGCAGAGAGGTGGATTTCTAGAAATTACAAATTGACCCGGACATGGGGCGCATTTCTGGTTTAAGAACAAAAATACAAAATGGTATATAATATAGGGACCAAAACTATAATTATCACAAGTTTTTGATAAATAATATAATAAATTAAATAAAATGTTTCTTAAATCGTAAATCGTAAAAATTGATCAATTTGCTGGTATTTAAGATTTATTTTAACATTTGAATGACCTTATGTAAGAATGAATTGAGTCGTGAATCATAAGATTTTAAGCTCGGGATTGCGAATTTCCTAAAGGAGTCACACGCGATTACAGCCGAGGAGGAGTCGAAGCATGCTGCGTTGGTGGCGGATATTTTGGGTATTGCAAGAGAGATCCACCTTGGGGTCAAGTTTGCTATTTGTGTGGAGCGGATGGGAAAATGGAGTAAGTATAGGGGTGATCCTGTAATTTTCAGAAATGTTTCAGCCAAGGAGGTGTATTTTCGTAAATTACAAATTGACCCCCATTTGTGGGGAATTGCCGGTTTAAGGACCAAACTTCAAAATTGTATATAGTATATGGACCAAAACTATAATTATCCCAACTTTATTAAAAATAATATAATAAATTACAGTTTTCTTAAATCGTAGATCGTAATATTTGATTGATTTGTCGATATTTAAGATTGATTTTTAACTTTTAGATAGGTATAAATGAATCGAATCGTAAGATTTGTATCGTAAATCATAAGATTTTAAGGTCGGTATTGCGAATTTTCGCAAACGGGTCACATGTGATTACATCTGAGGAGGATTCGAAGCATGTTGCGTTGTTGGTGGATATTTCGAATAATTCAAGAGAGATCCACTTTGGGGCCAAATTTGCAATTTGGGTGGAGCGGAAGATGTAGTAAGTACAGGGGTGATTCTGCAATTTTCAGAACTGTTTCAGCAAGGAGGTGGATTTCCATAAATTACTGATTGACCCCCACTTGGGGGCATTTCCGGTTTAAGGACCAGAATTAAAACTGGTGTATAATATAGGGACCCAATCAGTAATCATCCCAAGTTTATTATAAATATTATAATAAATTAAAGGTTTCTTAAATCGTAAATCGTAAAATTTGATCGATTTGTGCTATTGAAGATTTATTTTAGCTTTTGAATCAACTTAGGTATGAATGAAATGAATCGTACGATTTGAAGCTTAAATTAGTATTGCGAATTTTCGTAAATGAGTCACACGTGATTACAGCCGAGGAGGAGTCGAAGCATGTTGCTTTTGTGGCGGATATTTCGGATATTGCAAGAGAGATCCACTTTGGGGTTAAATTTGCAATTTTGGTGGAGCTGGTGGGAAGATGGATTAAGTATAGAGGTAATTTTGCAAATTTCAGAACTGTTTCAGTCAGTGAGGTGGGTTTCAAGAAATTACAAATTGACCCCCACTTGGGGGGCATTACCGGTTTAGGGACAAAAATTTCAAATGGTATATAATACAGGGGCCAAAATTGTAAATATCCGAAGTTTATTATAAATAATATAGTAAATTAAAGTTTTCTTAAATCGTAAATCGTAAAATTTGATAGATTTGTTGGTATTGAAGATTTATTTCAATATTTGACCCGACCTAGGTATGAATGAAATAAATCGTACGATTTGAATTTTAAATCATAAGATTTTAGGCTCGGTATTGCGATTTTTTGTAAATGAGTCAGACATTGTTACAGCCGAGGAGGAGTCGAAGCCGGCTGCGTTGGTGATACGCGTAAAACCTACGTATAAATAACCGCAAGTGTACAGTATCGCGTTTTGTAGAATAGTGAATTCCAGATATCGATCCACAGGGAATTAAGTTCCTAAATCTACCAAGTACCGTAATTATACTATCCTAAACTCTATCTAGACGAAGGAAATAATGGGGGATGAAATGAAGCAAAAAGGAAACAAAAATAAAAACAACGGTCCGCCAGTATAATCGAGGAATTCCGACGTGTGATGGCTTCTAGGGTAAAATCCACCAGTGTACTATCGATAAAGATCTACAAATCCGAATCTAATGTCAATTCTATGTTCGCTAACCCAGACACTAAAGTACCCTAACCCCCGTCTCCAGTGTAGTTAGAGTCTACCCACAGGTCCGACGTCTCCGTTCAGAACCTGATATTAAGAGAGCATTTAGGTCAAGTCCTTAAGGGCTACCCGAGGTGCATCACGTCTCCGTTTCCACAACCCGAGCTATGTTTTTCTAAAATCAAACGAGAAATCCTCTCTCGAGTTCATTCCCATTTAGAATCAATTCAACTGTTGGCCAAACAATCGAAAGCATTTAATACAGGAAAACATAAACATAATCAAAGAACGACAAATAGATCACAGATCCGGAAATCAAAATCAATATATACAAGGTTTCATTTCCCTAAAAGAAAATGCTCAGTTCATTACAAACATAGCATCAAAATGAAGAACACGAGAAATCATAAACAAAACGTAAAGAAAAGTTTATGAAAAACCCGAGTCGAAACCCTCGTCGAAGCTTCCCGCGAAGAACTGGCGAGAACCGAAGAGAAAACCGAAGAAAAAGTCGAGAGATGGTCGAGATATTATCGAGATATTGAAAAATGAAAAAGAGACCTTCTATTTATAGTGAAAAATCAAAGAAAAATATCTAGTCTCGATTTCTGTGCCCAGATCGCGATCTGGGCTTCTTGGATCGCGATCTGGCAACCTCGAAAACTGCGCACCGCCTTCCAGATCGCGATCCAGGAAGTCCGGATCGCGATCTGCCCCAATTTTTCGCTGCTACTGGAATTTGCCACCAGATCGCGATCCGGTGATTCTGGATCGCGATCTGGCCTCTGCATTAACTTCAAACACTTTTTTCACCCTTTTTCAGCCCGAATTCGACAATTGTGCATTTCACAAAAGTTGTAGCCCTTGAAGTTAGCTTTCTAAATCTACTTGAATCAGCCCAATCGGAGGTCGTATGCAAAAGTTATGCTTGAAATACCAAACACTGCCACAATCCGCGAGAATGCACTTTTGCACGTGTTTGGTTTGATTCTCGGCTTCGCTTCCAAAATCGTCTCGAATCGGCAAAAATAGCTTATCTTTACCTAAAAAATAAATAAAACAAAAACAACATAATATATACAAATAAAGCCGAAAACTCGGACAAACGAGACCAAAACTCGAAGAATTGATAAGTGAAAATCATGCAAAATGAACACTTATCACACCCTCAAACTTAGATCTTTACTCGTCCCGAGTAAATCAAAACAAAACTACAACAAAAAAGAACAAAAACAACAAACGAAAGAAAAACTAAACCTAGGCCACTAACGTAGGGAATCACGATTGCATTTAGCGTATGCAACAAGCCGTTGAACCCCTGGGTACCCCCAAAGGACGAGTTGTGTCTCGTGAGGGTTTTCAGACAACACACCCACGAAGTTGCCGGATTGGTCAAAGCATTGCAATTAATTCCAAAGATGAAACGAGCTAGATAACCTAAAATCTTAGAATGGCATACGGCTTA